TTTTGGGTAGGTGTGTTGTACATCCTTAAGTCCTAGCCAAATACAACAGAGAAACAGAATTAAAATGTGAATAGACCTTACCAGTCGTATCAATTTCAAATTATTGTTTTTTTTCTTAATCAATTTTAGTTGCCATGAAAAAAATAATATAATGTCAGTCTTTTTATAGGATATATTTTGAAAGAAAGGAGTATTATCAGAGAAAACTGACTGCCAAAAAGTAAAAAAAAAAACATGTTGTTCAGTAAAAGTGTTGGGGGGGGGGTCCCTGCATCCCCTCTTACCACCCTCACCCTAAAATAAATATTCGCTTATGTTTTTTTTCACATGAAAAAAAAAAATTACAGTCGTTTAAATAGCTTTCCAAAACAATTTGTATCAATTTGGAATTTCCCAATCTATTTTTAGATCAATGTAGAGGAAATAAATCCTTGTATTGACCTGGAACGTCATGTGCAGGTCAATACAACGTTTAGTATTTTTCTAACATAGTTGGATCTCAGCCAATCAGAGAGATGGACATTATTCAATCATATAATAATAATTATTATAGGTATATTTTAAATGAAAATTATAAATGAATAAAATTGGTCATTTGCATATAGGTCTAATAATATTGATATAAATAAATTGTTACTTTGGTTCCCATACATCAATATTTAAAATCAATTGATAATTGATACCACCCCTCCCCACACATACACTCCTGTACCCCCTTTTTTAAATATCTTGCATTATGTATTTGTTTTGTATTTCAAAATAATAATTATTAGTTATCATTACCTTGTCGATATTTTTATCTACCCATTTTATTAAACCACCTTTCTTGTTTACTGCTGCATTAAATAAAATGTGTACAATTTCCTTTGATTTTATTATTATTTTATTATCATTTTGGCAAGGTGTCGTTGAGATAAAGTGAATAAAAATATTTATTCAAAATTAATCTAGCATTATAAATTTTAAATATCTATCCATAGGCATTGGGATTTTTTTTTAAAGATAGACTTTATATAGGCATTGAAAATTGGGGTTACCTTTTTTTAATTTGTTGTTTTTTTTAATTTGTTGCTTTAGCCCCCCCCCCCCCCCCCTTTCCAACCCAAATTCAATTAGCCACTCCGATGCACATGCTATCGATATCCACATAGATTTTTTTTTTCTAATTTCTACATAAATTGATGCTAATATTAAAAGGTTCCATTTTCAGTAGCAATGTCAAGAACAGTACGTCAGCCGACAACGTCCATCATGCATGAACGCTTTTAATTCAATGTCTAGGGGATAAACACTTAAAACAAAGCCTCAAAAAACGGCAACACCTTTAATCAACGTCCATGGAAGTTCTATTTTTCTTAAATTTCTTTTATAAAAACCAGTAACTAAATGTATTTTCCACCAGCCTGTGTCAATAATATACGTGTTTAAGATAGAGTGATCCCGTAATTTTCACAAAACTTATGACTTGACCGATATTTGACGTTGTCTAACAACTTCTAGATGAACAATAAATCATCAACTAATAAACTAAATATCCAGTAAAGTCAGTAAAACTCTCATACAAAGGTTTATAAAAGATCAAGAATTCGTAATAATGACATAATTTTCGTTTTATATATCACCTAGGGCGGTTTTATTCTCATTTCACGTATTTCGAATTAAAATGATTAATGAACGCGTTAATGTCTCCCCCGCATTTCCAAACAACCGTTTCTATGGCAACTGCCATAGAGTTACTATCATAGATATTTAAAATGCATGTTTTTTAATTAAAAATATTTAACAAGTGTCTATATTCTCATTAGTAATTTTCAACCAATTTCACTTAAATAAAATATGGAGAAATTCCACGAACTTTTGGATCAACCCTCATATATGTTCGTTCAAAGTAGATAATATCAAATAAAAGCTAATTCTAAACACGATTCGACAGTTACTACTGATTTGCTGAACTTCATTTTGTTATAAATTTAAAATTTCTATACCTTAGCAAAAACAAGGCACGAGCCTTGTTTACATTAAGAAGAACTTGAAATTCTGTATCTTGTTTGTTAATCAACAAATGATGTTCAAGTTTTTGCTATTCAATAGATAATGCCTTAGGTATGAATTGTAAACATTAAGATTATTTTTAAAATAATCAGTTGAAACTGTGTCCAGGCCCCATTAAGGACGATATGTTCCTCAAATATCTGTTTTGTAAGGGATGAGTGCACTTAAATACGTTATTTGAAACCTTTTGGCTACCCATTTTAAGCTCTACATGACACTATATCGCTTAATTAATCTAAGATTATTGTGCAAGCATATGCTTTTGGTATTTATGCCTTGAAATTTTTGTCACATATATTTATATAATTACAGACAATGTAATTAAAAAGAACATGTATGAGCCTTAAGGTAGTCCGATCCTCAGGTTTATAAAATTAGCAGTCAAGTAAACAAAAATACTCATAAAAGTATCTTTGAATCCATAAAGTTATGTTAATTTATCCACAGTATTTCTTTAACGTTAAAAATAAAAGTTAATCATATCATATAGGGAAAATTGTCAAATATCCAATATTTTAGCAGGAAAAAAAAAAACGAATTGGAATATCAGCAATGCATTTTCTAGCAAAAGAGAAAGCATTTAGTTTAAAAGCAATCAAATATATTGAATTATTAAAGAACCAATTGTACAGGAGCACCAAAGGCCAAGAAACATTTTTTTTATCTGTCCTGGAAAAAGTTAATTACAATTTTGCAATAAAAATTTCTGACATCAAAATCGCAGCTCATATTGCGTTAAATAGTCTATATTCAAAAAAGACAATGAAGTTCATATTCGAATTCTGGTGCAACAGATCTAAACAGATCTTACAAATCATAAGCTTGCTAAACCGCCATACAGTTTTTATCTTAAACTTCCACACCCCTGCTTACATAATTGTTATTTAAGGACAGATGATACGTTCTCTAAAAATATACTTAAAGCCGCTTAATCCGAAACAGGCACATACTCAGTATTATCTTACACAATAAAAGTACGTCATTACATAGATAATATATAAAAATTGATTATAAGATTGATTTAATAGTTTACTACAACAATCCTTACATGGAAAACATAGATCAAAAACCTTACTGACAAACAGAAGTTCCTGACGGGAAGTTAAGATCTGTTGTGAAGTCACCTTTGAAAAAAAAAAATTATCGGTTATATCTAATTATAAAGATAATTCAAACCCGAGTATTTTTTCCATTAAGTCATAATATGTCTTTTAATAATTAAGAAATTAATTGAATATAATTCAAAGTAATTTTTAAATTAATATGCATATTTAAAGAATAAAGGAAAATCAGATATTTTTAAAGATTTTTTAAGGCAGTTTAGTAACGAAGGCTAAAATATTGTCTGTGTACAGGTACTTTCTTGTGAAAAAAAAAAATGCTCGGGTTTGTTCTTCATGACAAAAACATGTAAGCGATAAATTTAATTTTTCGAAGGTGATTTCACGCGATATCAACATAGGATTATTTTTTGTGTGACCTAACAAAAATTATTTTTTTTAACTTTTGAATTTTGATATCTTTTAAGAGAAAAAGACTTAAGGGATATAATTTGACAAAAGTTGAAACAATTTATGGACAATTATTTTTCAAGAAGAAAAACGAATATATTTTTTCGCGATTAGAATCGGACCTAGCGGCTTTAAGAATATGTTTCCAAGGTTTTATCGTTGAAATATTGTTATTTGAAAAAATTTAATTCACGAAAAGCGTGGTACCTTTTCAAGCATTTGTGCAAGATAACTGAGGATTGTGTTTCCTACAAAATCCTTTTGGAAATCCTTTTGGAAAAACCTTAATTTGTCAATATATCATTTTTAGTATTTCTATTCTTAAAGACAGTTAGAGACTGGTTAACAAATCAGAGGATAATTCAAATTTTGAATATTTGGCATTCAGTGCAGAAAGGATGAGTGCACTTAAGCTGTGACAGTTGGATCCCGATGTTTTGCGCAAAATAAAATTCCAAAATTCATTAAGTTTATGTTTTATAGATATTAAACAATATCTTAAGAGCAGTTTGTGGTATAATATATTGCATGAACGTATTAAATAATGCCGAGCATCACTAGCCTTTGAGAAGGGGGTCTAACAGTTTTGTCACATTTCTATTGTTATTCATACGCATACCAGTTTTCAACGACATTGTTTACATTGAACCCCAACTTGGCCATTGGTCTCATTTGCACAGAATGTGTATTTTAATTTAAACTTATACATTTCCAAACGACAATGTTGACCAAGTTGCGGCTCATGTCCCCAAACTACGCTCGAAATAGCTTCTAAATTAACAGGTCCCCGAGTGTCAACGATTGATATTATAATCACGTTACTCACGTGACATTCCACTGTTCGATACGCTAACGCTTTCATTGAACATTTCATTGTGTTTGTTATTGGAAGTTTCTATTGTGCTTCTATCGTACTTCCAGCCTCAAACTACGGAAGATTTTTGCACAAATAGGGTTTGAAGATTATATGTCTCTTATTTCACCTTGTATTTTTCGTTAGGGGTGCTTTGAAAGAATTCTGGTATTGACAGTGTGGTTAGTAAATATAGGCGTGTGTCGCCTCCGTATTATGGTTTGTAGAGCGACTTGTGTTAATGTACCGACAATTCAAAGTACTTACAAAGTGCTTACAAGGTGCTTAATATCAATCGGTATCAGGAAACCGTAACTGAATGCAATGGGCAACTAAAATATCAACCATATGAAATACAAGGTTGCAAATATGTTTTTCACGATCAATCTGTAATAACATAATGATTTGGAATACTGGTGCGGGTCGGGGGGGGGGGGGGGGGGGGCAATCTAACATTTTTATCCCAGGCATTTGACTGGATATCAAACTTTGCTTTTTAGCGCAAGTACAAGGTTTAGAACGTCTGTATGCTAAGTCTTATAATTATTTGTATTTTTCAGGTTTTGCAGATTTATCAACTGGATATGGCTACAGCGTCACCGAATTCTCTAATGAACAAGAAAAGAGCCAACTTTGTTCGCATTTCTGGCATTGTTAGGTTATATGCTCGAATCCTACAAGATATTCTATATGTAGAACAACCGAACCCAAAAATGTTGAAGAATACCATTCTTTCAAGTGCTGAATTAAGGGAAAGATTATACAAAAAAGAAAATGAAGATATCATTGACAGTTTTTCCTCTCTTGGAAATTATGAGAAATGTGATATTACGCTTTCATATTCCATTATAAGAAATGTCTGCATTCAAATAAAACCCACACAAAAATGGGGTATTAAAATGTTACCACCTGACCTGGACATGACTGTTGGAGATGATATAGAGAGAATTAGAATAACGAGAAATAGTGTATTTGCACATAATATCTCAATGGAAATTCGAAAACAAAACTATAAAGAATTTCTCAAAATTGCAAAGGGCATTTGTTCTAGATTAAAACGATTTTCTCAAGGAAGAGATTACGTGGAAGAATTGAGAGAAATAGAGGAGTCCAGAGTGGATAACGTGCAAGTGCAAGAGCTAAAAAAGAGTCTTGAAGCTCGTATGGATGTTGTGAAAAAAGATATCAAAGATATCAAGGCTAGACTCCAGCCTGCGAATCGTGAGTAAATCCAACCTTTATTGCAACAGTCTATTTTTGCATCTTTGCTAAGTTTTAAACCGATACTCGTAGTAAAATGAATATAATTATGTTGCATATAATGAAGGTGCTTAAATGCCATAATCGGACCTGAACTCCGATAAATATAGCATTCAGAAGAGTCAGAATCCAATGCAATATTATCACAGGCACTTTTTTCGGAAATAAATTTAACCCATAGTACTACTAATAATAAGAGCTATTATTATACTATGGGTTAAAATTTATTTTCGAAACAAGTGCCTGTGAATATTATGAATAATTTAAGGATAAATAAAACTACCTTTTTCTTTTCAAACTTCAAAAATAACTGTTCAAATGGTACATCACTCACTAAAGAAGTAAAAGCAGTTTTTGCGTAGTTAACTCTTTCACCAAGGCTTTGGTGAAAAGTTGAGAAAATGTAACTTTAGACTTCGTGTAATATAAATCAATTTGTCTACATTTTTAAAATCTGAATTTACAATGTTATTTTACTATGAAATAAAAATATAATAAATCTGACAGTGTCTATTTACTTTAGTAAATATATACAGGGATATCAACGATTCAAAATTGTTCAAGGCATCATCCTGGGGCAAAGGGCGTATTCTCAATGTCACTTCGAAGTTGATCCAAATTATCGCTTTATTAAAACGTTCGTACTATGTTCACTATAAGAACTAGGATTGTAAAATCAAGTCAGTTGATGCATCTTGGGGCGTTATAATAATCATGTTACCTCCAAAGTAAGTCACAGTGACCTACATTTTGAATTTGTCATGCATTCTTTTTCAAATCGATTTAAAGGTATGTTTTTGACACTTTAAGGGCTATGATCATTCCACTTTGTAAGTAGGTGCATCTTTTATACTTGAAAATATTTAAATTGAAAGGATTAATTTGGGATAATGAAAAGAGAGACCAATAGTCTGGGATTGTTTTAGGCGTAAAAAATTTATTAATTTACTTTCTGGTCGATAACTTTACGCATGCACACTTCATACTTAGTTTTAGTTCCTGTGATAGCACGTATCTTATGTAAGATATGAGGACAAGATTTCAAAGATAATTATTATGCAGCAAAATATAACATTTTGAGTACGTTATCAAAATGCTTTTTATGGAAAATGTCTTTCATTTTAATGGCAATTATATCCAGTCTTTATTGCTCATTTAAAATTTCCTTTTTAATTAATGTAAGACACGCATATTGTATGTACAAAATGTTGATAAAAATACCAAAGTAATGTCCCGTTCCATTAAAGGTTAATTAATTTTTGTTGTTTCGATCACAAGTTTTGCTTCTTGTTGGTTTTTAAAAAAAATCATTTTATAAACTGAATGATTTTTTTAACTCACCTAAGCCAGAGTATTCCCATGTAATGCTTCAGCTGCCTATGGTCGCCACAAGTCTTACATGGAAATACATGTGGGAAGGACTTTGAAATCTTGTCATGAACAGAAAACCATGATTTTTCAGGTATTAATAAAAGCATCTTCAGGTAATGTAGCTTTCAGTATTCGCAAAATTTATCTGCAGGGGTAGAGGGGGACAATGGGCGATTAAGATTTTGCATAGTAATATGTAGGGGAAACCCATAAAAAAACTTCACAAAATAGCAAAGGAATGAATAGTTAATTTCATGTGTAAAAACATCCTTAGGTAGCGATCGAAGATTCAAGTTAGTTTAAATTATGAAACCTCAAGAATAGGTTGGGACCAAAACTGGCACCCAAAATTTAATGTTGGGATAAGAAAAAATATTTCAAAGCCATGATTACTCAGTAGTTTTATTTACATGGATGTATCCTCGGGTAGCGTGGATTCAAGATCATAGAATGGCTCTCTTGTCCTATGAGTCTGTTGTTGATTTAGTGGATAGTTAAATTGGTTTGCAGTTTAAGAAAAAAAGAAAGAAAAAGAGATTAAAAATGTCAGAATATAGGTATCATTTTTGTTACTTTGCTCTATTTTTCATAAGATTTCGTTAATTAACAAAAACATAAGAATTATCCTTTCTTGATTTTGATTATGTACTAAATTTGACGTACACGTTTTAGCAAGTTCAAACAACTTTCATTTTTTTTTAGCTGAGAAAGAGGAAGAAAACGTTATCTTTAGAGGACCGGAAATTGTTTGTTTTACAATAAAAGGAGAACAAGTCATTAGAGGAAAAGGTATAGTAATTTGCATCAATATCGGTATATAATTCAGCCATGGTTGATAAATGTGATCTTTAATTGCAATGGAATGCTCCGCCTTGCAGTGCCCTTGTTAGAGTTATATAATTATCTGCGAAATAATTTGCTTAGACGAAATATTAAAATACACTCAAGTAGAATAGAAAAGCCCGCCCAGGCAAAAGAAATAAAATTTGACAAAAATGAACATATACTAACAATGCAACATAAATATGTAGACATACAACATATCTATGTCAACATGCAAGTTAATTATATTGACATGCAAATTACCAATCTTATAAGAAAATATAATTCAAATATGGTTAAATTTACTTACTAACGCCTGTATCTGACATCGTAGATGCAAGTTGCAACATAATTATGTACACAAGCGACTTATTTATGTCAATTATGTAGACATGCAGCTTATTTATGTAAACATGCAAGAAGATTATGCCAACATGCGACTTATTTATGATAACATGCATGATAAATTATGTCAACATGCGACTTATTTATGCTAACATGCAAGATAATTAATTGATATGCAACTCATTATCTTGCATGATGATATTATCATCTTGTACATGTATATAAAATATAAGTTATAACATGTTAATTGACATAACTTAGTCGCATGTTGACATAAGAAGCAAGTTAACATAATAAATCTTGCATGTTGACATAAATATCTTGCATGTCTACAAAAATATTAGGCATGTTAAAATAAGCGAAACAAATCTTGCAGAATTATGTTGCATCTGGCATCAACGATGTCAGACACGGTCTTACATACGTGATTTTAACCATTATTAAAATCAGATTACTAGTATCTTCAAAGATTTGTAAATTGTATGTCAACATAATTATCTTGCATGTTGACATACTTTTCTTGCATGTTAACATAATTTATCTTGCATGTAGGGGTGGGGGAAATACGCCACCATATTCACCCATTTGATGATTATTTTAATATCACCTTGGCACATAATGTTTTACCTTGAAAGAAACCTCAACAATAGAAGTGTTTCACTTGTTTACATTTTTGTAAATGATTTTCAAACAAAACTATCTTTCCTAAGAGTGTGTACATCATGTACATATAAACATTCTTATGATAATAAAATGTTTATTTTAATTCGACAGATTGTGAAGAAAAACGTCATCTGATGTGTGATGTAGTGAAAAATATTTTGGAAAGATATACCGGAAGGACACCAGTTCGAATACAAGCTGTAGAAACTGATTTTAAACATTTTTTTCGCTATGAGAAAGAACATATCGAAACATTTAAGAGCATTACTGGTACTACATTCTTGGGTTTTCTGAAAAATAATCAAGAGAGATTTCATATCCAGCTTGATAACACACAATGGCTATGTAGTTTAGTACAAACATCTTCAGGGGAAAATATTTTGGGACAAAAGAAAGTCGACAATATACCGCAGATTAGTCAGACTGATGCTGTCAATGTAAATTTGACTGATGTAACACCAAAAGCACCTTTTCCAGTATATTCAAAACAGCATAGGAAAACAAAATCAAGGTTTTCAAGCAAAAATCTGAAACTAGCCCCAGATTACTGTGATGATAATAATTCTTTGGAAGAGGGTACAACAAAATCTGATCTGAATTCAAAATTGTATATGAGAGTAAAGGAAAGTAGTCCTGATGCTCGTTTTAAAGAGCCTGCAACAATTTCAAAGCAAAAACCATCTACGAATCTAAATAATTCACAACATAATTCACAAAGTATCTCTAAAAAAGTAGAATCATTTTTCGCCAGTGTGAATTATTTCAAAAAAGGTGCTTTTGTACTTGTAGTTGGGAAGGTCACAGTAATGAAAGAAATAGAGACATTAGCTTTTATACCATGGTTATGTGTTTATGATTTTGATACATCAAGTCGCAAAGATGGTCTGATGTCTATTCTTGAAAATCAACTGCATGGAGTCTATCCGTGCACCTGGAATGATGAACCCAGATTTTCGCATTATGTAACTCAGTGGTGCCTTATTCGTGGATCGGTCAGAGAACCTGATACATGTGTTAATGGAAAAGTTAATGACTGGAGCAAAATGATATCTAAAAAGCTGGAGAACAATCTAAAAAACCTTGATCAGTATGTCAAAGATCAAACATTCATAAAAGTTGTGGTGCTTTGGCCTGAATTGCCGGAAGATGCTTATTTCATTCAAAGGCTTTTGAGTAAAATGCATGAAATTATGGACCCATCACCAGAAGTGTATGTTCTCGACCTCAATGAGAAGCAAGACATATCAGCCGAAGAAAGCTTTCTTCTTAAACAAATAGATCCGACATTGACACTTAGATCATCACGAAGTGAGCTGTTCCACGCAATATGCCTGCATGTAAGCGGCGTTCAAAATCAGAAAAGTAATAGCTATATATTACCAACTTTCGATGGCTCAAATGATCCAGGAATCGATGAAAATACTTCTAATTATATGAAAGAGTTTTTGGATATCCTTTATATTGAAGACGTATCAGGATTAACTTACGAACCACACGATTTGCAGACAGAAGGTGAGGAATTTTTGAGAGGGGGTACTTTAAAATGGTCTGTTTACTACGCATGTGGTGATCCTGGGCTTTTCGATGTGAAACGTGATCAAATGGCTTCGATTATCAGACACATTGATGAAAAGTTTATAAAACATGCGACATCTGGTATAATAGAAATTTATCATTCGCCTGGTTCAGGAGCTACAACACTAGGAAGAAGAATCATTTGGGAATTGAGAACAAAAATACCATGTGTGCAATTAAAATCCAGTGCTTTGCTTAAACACTTCGATATTGCCGAAAACTTAAAAGTTCTTAGTGAAAAAACACAAATGCCGATTCTTATATTGTTAGAGGGCGTCGAAGCAGAAGTTCTCTACCTTTATAAGCTTTTAAAGATGCAAAGTGTCGTTCCAATTTTTCTTTACCTAAGGAGAGCATATCAAAATGTTGAAAGGAAGAAAAACATGATAGGCCAGTTTCATCTGAGGGAGCATGTTTCCATAAAGGAAGCTAATCAATTCATAGTGAGGTATCAGCCGTTTTGTGATACCGACGAAAAAATGGAAAATCTTCAAACCATGTTTGAAAATGTGAAAACGGGACATAGACATAATGTTTTTGAATTTGGGTTATCTACCTTTCTACATGAATTTAAAGGAATAGATTCATATGTCAAAGGGTATTTAAACTTTGAATCATGTGCTTCAACGACAGATAAGAAAATGAATTTGAATCCTATGCAAAGAATGCTTGGTTACCTTGCTTTGATATACTACTATGGACATACCTCAGTACCATGTCTCATTTTTTCCAATGTCCTTAAAAAGCCCAGCAACTTTATTCTTGAGTTTGAGGACCTTCCTTATGAGGTCCAGAAACTTGCTGTCGTCGACACCCAACATCAGCATAAACAGCATATCAGAATATGCCACCAGTTGATGGCAAAGGAAATTTTGGAACAAATTCTTACAAGAAAGTTTCTTCCAAGATATTCCTTTAGAAACAAACAGTTGAGTGAAACTGCTTGCAGAGAACTAAAGAAATTTGGGCTAGAATTTATATCCGAAATGGCCTCGAAGCAATGTTCAAATTATGACAAAAGGAGTATAATAATTGACACTTTCATCAAAATTTTTATACAGAGGAGTGATTTAGATGCGAATGATTGTGATAATTTTATGAAGAAAAAACCTAAATTTTCGAGGATTATAACAGATATTGAGAGGTACTCTTCGCCATCTGAGGGAATAGAGATTCTTCAAAAGTTAACACAACTATTCCCAGATAATGCCAGCTTCCATGCCCATCTTGGAAGAAAACATTCAATATGTTTTCCAGATGACGAAGATGTGGCAGAGGCTTGTTTTAAAAAGGCTCTCGATATATGCAAATATGACAATGGTAGAATCATAAAAGAAGACAACATGGATGAAAATGCCACTCTGCGAATGGTGCACCATATGTATGGAATGCATTTCTTTAAACGCATATGTCGGAGAACAAAAAATAGTCAAGAGTTTCCTTTTGTAGAGATAATAAACATGATTTTGGAGTATGCATACAAGGCATGCTCTCACTTTGAAATTTCTCGAGAATATTCTCACATTGGACATGAGGAGCTTTATGGATTAAGTGGAGAAATAGGTGTGCGTATAGAAGTGTGCAACTACATTAAAACACATTGTGGTAAAGAATCCTTAAATGTCAGGTCAAGGAAAACAGAGATAGATGACAAAATAAGGTTCATTAGAGAAAGTATGACATATGTTTTAGATCTCATTACCCACTCTTACAGCGTGGTTGAAGAAGCAGACTTCCCCAATGATATGGTGAACAATATTCGCACATATCGGGATTTATTTCAGGGAAATGTAGCAGAAATGATTTGTACAACTGGCGTAGCAGTTGATCACGATGAAAGAAGGCGCCGAGTAACAGCGATAAAGCGAAAATATGATGTTTTTGATATACTCTCGCTGAATAAAAAGGCAGATACAACGGATGTTCGAAGCATAGTTAGATTGCTTGAGGAAAATTTCCGTGATGTTGGCCATAAAGGGTTGTTAGCGAAAGGCTTATTTGAATCGGACTACAAAGACTGGATAAATGCAATAAGGTTAACTCAAAATGACATACCATACTCTTTGAATTCAGTAATGAACACTGTTAAAGATTGGTGTACACATTTAAATACACCAACATCAAAATTCTATCTTTTTATACTACATATGTTAAAGTTGATGTCAGATCAACATCCACATGATCTCTATGCTGCTAGGGAACTGCGTGAAGAATTGAGAAAATTCACCAAACATTACTCTAATCCACGAAGCCCACGGGAATACCTAGGAAGGGGTAAAGATATAAAATGTTTAATTCCTGCAAGGTTTATGAAAAGAATCCCAGAAACAAATTTTAAGGAAGTCACCATCTGTAAAGGGGTTGCAATGACGCCTAGACTTTTGAAAGGGACAATAAAAGGGCAGAACACGAAGCCTCAAACAGGATTTATTGCACTCGAAGTTTGTAACGATTTAAATCAACTCGACATCTTTTTTGTTCCAATCCGTACACGAGAAAAATTGGTAGGCAAAAGTTACGAAGGGAGAAGAGTAGAATTTATTTTATCATTCAACATCAATGATGGATATGAAGCCTTCAATGTGAAACTTCTTCAAAGTTTGGCATGCCCTGAATGTAAACGGTCAATAGAGTTTACCTCTGATGATAACAAAATGAAATGTCAGTGTGGAAAAGAAATACGCAAACCAGAATGATTTGCTTCTCTTTTTTCATTATTGTTAACGCCTTTTTTCTTGTGCATGTACAGTACCCATTTTCTCTGAGAAACTGGTTTTGTATTCAAAGTATTACTTTAAAATTAATAATTGTTTTACTTGTGCTGTATATTTTGCTTTTCGAATGAGAATTTTCAGATCGTTTTTCTTATACTTGGTATTGATAAATATAAATGTAACACTTATATTGATGATATGCAAATATATATTGAACGAAACGCTTGGTATCAATATATTTTTTACGATGTGCTTGAAATGCCTTGACGATAGGTCTTAAGGTCTAGGCCCAAAGTTGGAGCTTTGTTTTTTATAGGGCAAATAATAGTAAAATCTTGAAACAGCAAGGTCAAGCAGACAAATTGTTTGCCTATCTATAATGAGAAGGTAGCCCTTTAGATTATTTCAAAAATCCATACGTCATGGAACCTAGGCAAATCTTATATGGACACCAGAATACATTTTTTTTTCAAATTTTCTAATAGAGCACCCATTCTAATACTTCTACAATAGTTGCCGTAGTTGTTTTGAGATGAAGATTTTCAAAATAGTTATATACGCATTGTGCTGTAATACTGCGATCTTTATATGGAGATTGTGGTATTTGTGATCTAAAGAAATGTTGAACTATGTATAGTAACTCAAGTTCTTCCATTTTGTTATCTTGCACTTCCTTGGCAAAATTTGCTTATTTTGATCCCTTGTCATTTTTTCAACAAGAATCCATACTTGTTCACATTATACATGTATCTCTTTAATTTGTCCTCCAATCAGTTGATTTAAAATATGGTACATGGCAACATATTTTACTTTTATTTCTGGTTGATTTTCCTTAAAAACAGAAATGTTCCCACAATCAAAGAAATCTATTTGCACAAGCAAGCTCTTATATAGTCATTTTATGAACATGAGAGACAAAACAAAATTATGAAGAGGTGAAAGACATCACAAAATCTTTTTGTGATGAACATCATTATAAATTTGAAGCAGTTTATTATGAATTGGGAAGTGGATATATTCTGACATTTCTGGTTGAAGTGTTTCAAGCTTTTTAAATTAGTTTTGCACTTTAGAAAAAAAACCTTCATGTGTGAGCTATGTACTTATTGCTGATTTTGTTCGTGCATGTATATTCCATAAAGCAAAAAGAGAATTATTTTATATTATCATTATTATGAAATTTATTTAAACATTTGATTATTCATATTTATTAATAACCACTGTCTCTAATGAAGCATAATATATTAATATTATGTACATTAAAGAAAATATTAATTGCATGCAAATAAAAGCGTCATAATTTCATAAATATTGTGAATTCTCTGAAAGGCTATGCTAAGTGATGGACCAAATATAAAAAAAAGACCTTAGCACTTGGTCGGAATGAATATAGAGTATCAGATGTTGAAATCTCACAATAAGCAATTGAAGTGCCAGTATGAAAACCCTGTATCCTTCTTTCTTCCACAATGTAGAAGTGAAAAAAAGAATTCCAGTCATGTAGATTTTACAAGACCAGTATGTACTGGTCCCGGCTGAAAAAGCAGGTAACAAGAACTTTATTTTTGCAAGACTTCATTATTTGAATTGTATTTTTGTACCAAGATTAAATTCTGCAAATAAATTTATGAATATAATTTACCAAACCTATACTGGATTCCAAAACTCAAAAAAAAAAAAATCCTCACTAACATATATATAGCGGGTTTCAGTAAATGGTCTACTGAACCGCACTTTCTTTACTTCTCACTAATAAAAATATTTACTGCAGTGAAGTAGAAACTTCAGGAGTACTGGTCAAATGGTATACTAGTATTAATATTCAGGAGTTACTGAGTTAGTGTAAATCAGATGTAGATACCATCTCAATTACTCCAAGTAACTTTCAGAAAATTTGAAATCATCAAATTTTACTGAAATCAGTAACATCAATTAAAAACATACAACTCTTGTGGTGTACTGCGATTTTCAAACTATCGTGTGAATTAAAGTAACTGATACTAATTAATACCAGTAAACCACAATGTGTGACACATCTGTTTTACATTTTACTAGATAGGACATTAAGCTAACAAAATTTTATAAGACTGTTAATGTGATGACTTCCAACTTTTCAGTTGTCAACTAACTCAACTTCCCTTTCTTATGTAGCAATGTACCCTTATAACCTGCATAAGGGTTTATATCTCAAAGTTGATTCATGCACAAAAGTTTGATCAATTTTTAAACAAGTTAAGCTATTGACCAGCAAATGCAACAATGTAATGAAACAAACTTTTTGCTCTGCTGAGATAAATAAGAAACAGGTGGTTATTTAGTTTTGTTTAATCCAATTTACTTTTTAAGCTTAACACATTACTGTTATATAATACAATTTTGGATACATTTCTGATTTAAATTTTAAAATTTTCCTAAAAAGTTATAATATACACAGGGTGAGGTTCATGCAATAACAGATTAAATTAACAATATCAAAATATTATTTGAAATCTCAGTCAAAATAAAATCTTTAACTATTGTTATAACAAAATACTAATAAATCAAGAAATCCAAAACATAATTTATATAATGGGAACAACACAAAAAATAATAAAAATTTCATCAAGAATGAAAACAAATCATAACAGTGCATTCTCTCCTTAAATTTCAGTACATGTATCTCCTTGAATGTAAAACTTTACAATATCATATAAATCTCTAAATAAAATTCAATTTTTGTCCTCCTAATTGAAAAGTTGCTTGTTAAGCCTATTTATCTAGGTTTTTGAGAAAACAAGGAAAATCGAAGTCTATATTTCAGAACAGTCTGATGAGAATTCCACAGAAACACGACATACACAACAGAGGTTAGAGATAAATACAAACAAATATTGGAAAAACAGATGGCCTTAAAGAAGGCTAGCGGGGGCCTAGAGGGAGGTAAACACAGGCAGCCACACCTCAAACCCCCGGACCCCATTTCCTAGATGATAGGGCGGGTAAAGTGGGAGTAGGTCAGATTGTAGTTCTTGAAGGTACAGAACTGGTGGTCGGCCCTGGAGTAACCGGGGACATAGTCCTTGTCCTCCAACTGTTTGTGACTGTCCTTAGCCATAGACTCCTGAAAGATATGGCAGTGATATTTAATGTAGGAGAAAATCAAATATGGACCCTTATAGATACATATTACAGTAAAACTTTAAAGAACTGTATAGGATGGAGAATTTTGCTTTGCTATAAGCCTAATTCGTTATATCCATTAAGAATACAATACATTTTAAAGTCATGGGAAATGAAAATAACTCTGCAGTAAGCTAGTTCATTACAAGTGTGTTTTACTGTATATACCAAACATGACCTAAAATATTTATGATAATTGGCACATTTATCTTTAAAGAGACTGCCTATAGAACACTTTCTGCTCATGAAAAATTAATTGAAATGCTCTGCGGCCAACATTGTGTATAGTTTTTACCTTGTTTGCAAACACAGTCATCAGGAACTTGCCAGGCTTGAACGTGTCCAGAACCTTCTTCATCAGCTCCATGTAGTTCTCCTACAAATTAACCAGACATCTTCACTTTGGCGATTAAATATAAAACTTAAATTTAATTTTGCTTTTTAAGGGTTTTTTTGTGTGTTTTTTGGCTTTTACATAGTTTAGAAATAAATTAAACAAAAATACATAGGGGTAAATGATAGATTTTCACAGCAATATTATTTACTTGTTAAAAGTCAATTCCAGTAAACTGATTCACTGACCTTATGCCTAGTAAGTATACAAAAAGGAACATTTTAATTGATGAGTTTTAAAGAATACAGAGTATTCTTACCTGTGGAACATTGCTTTCAAAGCTGACATAAGAACAATGAGGCTCTGGGGTCACATGGATAGTTATGTAGTAACCCTGTAAAAAGTTACGTTAGTCCATTACGACCATTAGACAACTCAATTACATACCAAGTTAATTATAAATAACAATTCAAAGACAATCATGCTGGTCAATCTAAAATAGAGTTTTATTTAAATATTTTAATGCTTTTTTAGCAATAAAGTAAAACTTGTCTACAGGGTTTTAAACTAACTTGTAATCTTTGATCGCCATGTGGGCTACTAAACCTTGCAATTCTGGGGCATATACCAAATTATCACACCTTCTGTTGAATAAATATACAATGTACAACAACCCCATTTTTCGTTATTTTGTTTTTATCATATGACTCGTGTTTCTTTTCTATCCGTAGAAACATTGTGCATGACTTATCTTAATTTCAAATTGTCCTCTTTTGTTTAAAAAGATTGAAATGGTTATTAAACGTCATATATTCAAGCACATTACTTTTTGGTTTGTTGGGCTCATTGACGACAGACAATCACTCAGACGCTTTATGTTTAAGTACTTAAAATATAAAGCACTTTACTGATTACGAAAATTTAATTCAATGTGGGCTAAACAAGGAATATTGGTCGCAAATGGCGAGTGGGCGACTGTTAATTTCAAACCCTGGTCTAAATTGAATTACCTGTATCAATACATATACCACTGTTTCATAGAATTTGACCAGATTAGTCATGAATTTGGAAGAGACAACTTAATTTGAATTTAATTCAATGAAAAAGGACTTGAAAGTTAAAGCAAAAAGACCTACCCCTGGCAGCAGGCCATTCATGGAGTAACCACAGGGATCAAACAGGAAGTCGTCAATTTGGGCACCAGGAATGATGTCACAGATTCCAGATTTCTGAAAAATCAGAGCAAGAGCTTCTCAGATACTGGCAAAACTCAACAGGTGATGTCTTCCAGGTAGACAAGTTAAAATTTACAATATACTCAACCATTCAACAAATGTATACCACTGGCACAAATGCACGGTATATCTAGTTTTTTAAGGAGAATGCCAACTTCAAAATATCAAAGCCCTATCTGATGAACAGTGAAAGTTTGTTTGATTTATTCATTTATTAATTCATTCATTTTCATATCATAAATATGTACATATACATGTAAATATCATTTTCATATCTATATATATTCGAAAATGCAGTTATCTTAAAGAAGCTATGAGTATATATAGAATTTATTATGTATTATTATTTTATATGTTTTGCTTTTATTTGTTATTGGGTGTTTTAGGCTACTTTTTAAGACAGCCTTTAATAAAAAAAAAATAATAAAGCAATGGCATCAAAGCATGAAAAAGATTACAGTATGTTATATTGTATCCATGTACATGTACTTCACAAACAAAAAATACTTACTTTGGTTGCCTCTGGTCCATCCTTGCACATTTTCTTGGTGAAAATTTTCATTGTTTCAGGACACATTTCCCACATTAGAAGGTGACACAGTTAAGGAAGAAGAAAGAAACATTGTGGATGAAGTGTACCTATACAATATTATCTTGACAGCAACAAAAAAACAGTCAAAACTGGATATATCAAAGTCAGGATAGTTAAAATAAACTTGAAATGAACGAGATAAATTGTATGAGATGTTGATGTGAAAGCTCCCATTTTTTAAACAAGACAGGAATTTACCACATGCACACAATATTTAATTAATACATGTACAAGTGTACATGTATTCTGAATTTTAAATAGAAAACTATTGGGATTCAACTTTCAACTGCATGTCACATATAAAATTATTGTGTTTTAAATGCGAGAACACAACTTAAAACAAAAATTTCTTAAATCTTAAAATTTAATATGAACCATTACACTTTATGTTTATGCCTATGTAATAAAGGATATTTCTACAGTTTGATCAGGTTCCATAACTCCTACTGCATCCATGGTGTACAGGTGCCTGTAAAATGAGAATAAAATTTGAAATACAAGTTAGATGGTTTAACAAACATTTACCTTTACTTTTTGAATTATTTTTTTCTGATATTTTTTTTTTCATTCAAACTATAATTCCATATCATTTAAAATCTTTTCAAACTAATTTTAGCTCTAAACTTTAATTTTCAAAAAGAATAAAAGTCATTACATGAAATTATCATATATGTGCTTATCAAAATATAAAATTTTATCTATATATGTAAGTGCAAATAGATTAACTGTGTCTATGAATTAAAAAAAGATGAGAGATTACAACCTTGGCTACCACAAAACGTGTCTGGCTGATATATAGCTTATCTGAACCCCAGTCATGTGACTAGATCATGTGACCCTCAAAGGTCAAATGGAGCAGAGGTCAAATTTTGAAAATTTTCAGTCTGAAAATGGAGACTGGGTTTATGAATAAAGCTTTACGTTCAAACCAGTGCATTTTGTAATAACCGTGCTGAATCTGAACACGCTCAGAGGTGCGACAGGGGTTGTTGCCCTTGACAGTCTTCCATGCACCTATAGTCATAAGGAACAAAGAAATAAAAAATTTCTTTGTTTTACTATGAAGAAATCAAAATAAATCAAACACGAAATTGTCTCACATATTCATGATTAAGTAAAATGTTATATATATGAAGTTGATATTTCTTCCCTCTTGTTTGCTGCTATATAACTGATTCATAGTTAAATTAATAATTCAATCACGATTCTAGAATATAACAAAATGAGTTAACTAAAAAACAAAGTTTTCATTTTCTTTTTATTAGCTAAGAGTGTTAGAAAAGAAGCAAAGTATGAACAATTTTCTGTTTACTTTTAAACTTTCTGCTTAAGAGTAAGAAAAAAAAAACATTTCAAAAGTGAAGAATAAACACTGCTATAATATACTCCCATATTGTTGTGATGCTTTATATTTTGTTGTTTTTTTTGTTTTTTTTTTTTCTAGTTATCTGATTTACATTAATATAGTTATTTAAAATGTTTGAAATTCTAACTAGTGAACTAATGCAAAGATAAAATCTTCCTCATCGTATCAAACTTACCAGCAATCTTTATTTACTCTTCCTAGTGTATAAGCAGCCCCATCTGTAAACAACAAAGTTAAATTGAATACATAAAATAATCTCTTTCTTTTTTATAACATGAAAACATACTATAATATACACTACATTGAGGATCTATGAATTGTTATAACATAGATTAATAGTACCATAATGTTTGAATTGAATGGGATTATTATACTTTATAAAGAACAAATTAAAAATCACATGAGATTACCAATGGTATTTTATAGTTTTTTTCCTATGAGTACTGCTTAGATGATTTAATCTATATGTCTAAAAAAACTGTGATCTAGACAATTAAGTACACATGTTAATGTATTACACAATGATACCAGTCTGGTAATCCTTACTTTTGAACAACTTATCCAGATGACAAACTTCCTCTTCAAAGTTCTGGTGAATTGTGTGCTGCTGCTCAGGCTTAGAGAACTTCTTCCTTGAGTAGAAAACATCCTGCAATGTATGAAAGAAACTGACTGTCTCACGGCCAAATTATGTAGGGGGTGGGAGTTTGGTCAATTACTTAGAATTAGAATTTTAAAAGTCAAATTAACAAACACTTTAAGATAACACACAAGAACTACTTTAAACTAACTTTTAATAGCGTGCGAGAAATATCTGCGAGTTTAGCAACATACTTTAACTCGTGAAAATTAATTGCTGCAAACCACGTTTTTTGCTTTGTATTTGTAGTGAATGTTTCGTCAGTCATGAAATATAATTGTTGTGGATCGATTTAAGATGAAGCAAATAAAAGATGGTTTACAGTGAGTATTTAAGTAATTACCATAAAGGCAACCATCTCCTCTTTTTCCTGTTTTTTAAAAATAATTTTTATGTTTTAGACCTTGATTTTCCCTTCTAGGAAAAAAAGACAATTTTAATCTGTGACCCAAGACACAGATTTAAATATTTAGAATTCGAGGGAATGTATGACCTTTGAGATCCTTTTCCTTTCAAATACATGAATCTTAAGGGAAAATACATGTAAAACTTACAAGGACTTTAGTGAATCCACACTGTTCCTTGACTAAATCTATGAGGGGCTCCACAGCCAACAGCAAGGTGGTACGGCCACACGTCTTCAGGATGAAACGGGACTTGGTCACAAACATACTGCTCTCACTAAAATAAATAATCATACAACTTTAGAATTCATGGAGATTTTAAAATAATTCAATGCATCTTTTATAATATTGGATTAATCGGTGATTTATATAGTGAGTGACGGCTGGGGCAAACATCCCTCTTGATTTGATAGCGACATTTTATTCATCTATGATTAAGTTTGAATAAATTAAACAAATGTACATTGATATATGTCTAAAATTGTTTCTAAACATTTTCATAAATCTAACCTTCTGTTCATCACTGAACTGGCTATCTTATTAATAAGTACCTTTACTAAAACATAGGTAATCAGAGATTACAGAGCTCACCTCAATGAATGTTGTCTTTAAGTAAGGCAAAGTCACACAATTAACCAACAAAAAGTGTACATTCCAAAAATGAAAATATTTAAGCAATTTTGATCTGATACTTTGAAACAGACCTACATACAAAAATTAAACTAGTTCTTCTTCATGAAAATGTAATCAAAATCCAGCATCTGAAGCAAATTTGAGAGTTTTCATCTCTTGATGCAACATTTGTGCAAGTTTGGTTTATACAATGTTATATAAGCCTTATAGTTTTTTGAAAAAAGACCTGCATCCATAACTTTTACCTGGTCTATTATCTGAAAAATGTATGTCGAATTCAGCCTCCGAAGCAAGTCCATTAGTGTGCATCCTAAGATGTATCGTCCATGCAAGTTTGTTCATTATAGGGCTCATAGTTACCGGTAATTGGAAATGAAACATGCATCAAAAACTAATATTTTCACTCATCCACAAAAAGTAGGTCAGATTCAGCATCCGCAGCAAGCCAGGTAGTATGCATCCTTAGATGTATCATCCATGCAAGTTTGGTCATTAAAGAACTCATAGTTACTTGGAAATGAAACCTGCACCAAAAACTTTTACCTGTTCACTCAACCAGAAAATGTAGGTCAGAATCAGCATCCGAAGCAAGCCCGGTAGTATGCATCCTTAGATGTATCATCCATGCAAGTTTGGTCAATATAGAGCTTATAGTTACTTGGAAATGAAACCTACACCAAAAACTTTAACCTCTTCACTCAACTGGAAAATGTAGGTAAGATTCAGCATCCGAAGCAAGCCCAGTAGTATGCATTCTTAGATGTATCATCCATGCAAGTTTGGTCAACATAGGGCTTATAGTTACTCAGAAATGAGACCTACACCAAAAACTGCACCAAAAACTTTAACCTGTTCACTCAACCAGAAAATGTAGGTCAGATTCAGCATCCGAAGCAAGCCCGGTAGTATGCATCCTTAGATGTATCATCCATGCAAGTTTGGTCAATATAGAGCTTATAGTTACTTGGAAATGAAACCTACACCAAAAACTTTAACCTGTTCACTCAACCGCAAAATGTAGGTCAGATTCAGCATCCGAAGCAAGCCCGGTAGTATGCATCCTTAGATGTATCATCCATGCAAGTTTGGTCAACATGGGGCTTATAGTTACTTGGAAATGAAACCTGTACCAAAAACTTTAACCTGTCCACTCAACCGGAAAATGTAGGTCAGATTCAGCATCCGAAGCAAGCCCGGTAGTATGCATCCTTAGATGTATCATCCATGCAAGTTTGGTCAACATAGTGGTTATAGTTACTTGGAAATGAAACCTACACCAAAAACTGCACCAAAAATGTTAACCTGCTCCAAAAACATTAACCTGGTCATTCCTTTGCTGAAATTGCAGCAACTGAATCTTGGACTGGTACAATGAAAGACACTAGAAGCATCTTCCATGCACATCTGATCAATATAGGACACAGAAGTAATTAAAGAGAAAACTGCTCCAAAAAACATGGGACGCCGACACCGACGCCGAGGGTATCACATAAGCTCCCCCCAACTTCATTGAGGTGAGCTAAAAACAAATCATACTCTCAAACAAAACAAAGTTTTGATTTGTTTAATAAATACACATTTACATGTATTTATTTGACACAATATTGACACCTGTTTTTTTTTTTTAATTTTTTTAGATTATCTAGCCTGACAGTCACAGGCTAGTACCGGTATATGGGTAGTACTGATATTTGCTCACCCAACCCTAATATCCCTGGTAGCCCCGGTCCCAGAGTCGGTAATTGCATTTTCCAAGATGTTGAAATATTATTTTCAAAAGCAATAAACCAGCACTTAAATCAGAGGTCAATCACTTATGACTAGTATAAGCCTTTGGCTATAAACATGACAATTAATGTCTCTTTTTTTTTAAAATTGTTTCTGCTAGGTTAATTGGTCCGACTATAATAACATTTTTCTGTTTTCCATAGCATTGAATATATTGATCCCCAATTATGTAAATATACAAACACCAGACATGCTGGAATGTTGTGGCTCAACTAATTCTCTTGTATAAATTTTACAGTTACTATTAATAGCAGCAGGTCAAGGCTGCAGGCAGCTCGGTATGCATGCACTGAATCCAAAATATCAGTCAGCCATTAGTAAATATTGAGGTTAAATCCATTCCATTCTGCTGGCTTGTTTACAGTTCTATTTTTGTCTACCTTAGAACGTAGGCATCCATGTCATCATTGCTTTCCTTGCTGATTATTTCACATCTAACGATGCGTAGCAGCTTCTCCCAGTCCTCTCTACAAGTATATAATAAGTACCGTCAGAAACATTCTTGTATACTAACTTATGGGTATAGTAAGAATTAAAATTAGCAAAGATATTTAGCCAATATATTTTTAGAAGACCATTCCTAATGTTCATTATGGCTATTTCTGCAGAAAATCTATAAATATGCAAAGGAAATCTAACTTCTCGTGCTATGTATCAAACTTAAGCAAACTTTAATTTTGTATTGTATCAATTTATTGGTATTTTTCCATTAAATTCCTAAGGGCTGTTATTTATTCATAAACATTGATTACCTAGCTCAGGGCTTTATTTGGGCCAATAAATACAAATGAAAGAACATTTAAAAACCTATAGATTCAATCAACTGATTAGTACACTCTAGCATACTGTCTGCATTGTTTTATTCTCTGTTAATGAACACTGAAGATCTAATTTCCTTACTGTTCTAAAGTTACAGTACAAAACCAGTCTCAACTGAACTTAGGTCTTAATTCATCTCTTTAATTCTTTTGTTATTTACCTGTACAATTTTTATTTTGTCAACAGTATATATTACAATCTTATTGGTTTAGGATCCCCGAAACATGACCTGTGTACGCCAAGTAACTAAAAGGTCATGGTCACTGTGATATACCAGGTATTTAATGGAGTTTGTTCTACATATAACATGATCCTGGATAAGTGTATCATATATTAGATATTGTTATCAAGATGACCATATTATATAACTTTATCAATCTTATATACATGTATTACTACATCCTACATGTACCAATCACTATCTATCAGTATGCTCCAATATACCTACTTCCTTACAATGTCTTTTTTTTAACTAATTTTGATTTGACATATGATTTTTTTTTAAATCAATTTTAAACACCTTTAATATATACCATAATTATTACAAGGTATATACATACATGTATTGTATTTGCATGCTGTAACAATTTCTATTTCCAATTAGTGCAACAATGCCAAAATGTAAATGAAACTGCATTCCTTCTATCAAAATATCAGCATATCATGCACTTTAACTGAAATGTTTTGTTTTTTTTTTAAATTGTTTTGGCAGCGACACAAAATGCCATCCAATAAGATGAAATGTACTTCTAGTTAGAATGAACTAGTAATTATAGTTAGCATAAAATTGTGTTAATGAATGTAATGATTTAATTATTTGTCATCCTTGTGATTTCTAAAGGAAAATAAAACCTCCTACAAGATACCACATTGGCCAACTTTAAATTCTAATGCAGATTCTTTAAAATTAAAATTCAGTACCACTGAATAATAATTACAATGTCTTCCTCATTTAATCCAAACTGCTCACAAAAAAATTCTAAAAACAAAGCTGTACCATTTATTATAAATTTGTATAAGCATCTGTCATTTAAAATTTATTATCCTAACTGAGAGATTTGAAATCAAAAGTTGTATTTACTTATAAAAGCCGAATTCCTCTGAAAGGATGTAAATTTTTGACAAAGTGTTAGTACTGATAGACAGCCAAACAAAACAATGCAATACTTTGAGAGGACAGACACTACGAACACTATATAATATACATGGTTATTTTCGCCCGAGTTAGTTTCACCCTTTCACTCTTGCAAACAGTTCTGCCCTGTTTTAATTTCATCCATTCACACTTTTCTTTTAGAAGTAATACTTTTTTCTTTGAATTCACCCTATCTTAAATTCGCCCACTTATGTCTTAGGGTAAAAGGGGCAAAAATAAAACTGGGACAAAAATTTCCCTGTATAAAGTATTTCCTGAAGGGCATAAAAAAAAATACAGACAAGACTAGTGTATACTGAATTCAATGTTTACAATAAATGAATAAAACAGGAATATTTACTCTCTTTATGTATAAATTAACCTATAGTGTTTTTTTAAACACATATACATTCATAAGGACATTAATCTTTCTCTCTTCAAAACAATGTGGGATCACCCGCATCTTGCTATGGTTAGAGCATACCTGCTCTAGAGTCACAAAGTACATGTAAGGAGTAATCAGTTGATCCTTACATCGCGAGTTTGAATCCCACTGTGGGACGTCCTTCGAATCAGATGAGACCGTACAAACCAAGGCCCCATGTCGCACTATGTGTTGGCATGAAAAAGATCCTTCCCTGCTCAATGGTCATAAGTGCCAGGTATAGGACAAAAATTTGCAGCTCTCCACCAGCAAGTCGTGGCATCTCATTCCTCTCGAAAATTTTTCACTCATTGAGTGAAAAATTTTCGAGAGGAATATGAGTTCCATTCAGTATTATTCACTAACCTGACCATGTAGCAATTTAAAAGTACAATATGGGTCTGAATTTTAACCAAATAAGTATATTTAAGTCGGTAGCTAGCCTACTATTGAGAAGTTTGTGACAAATCGCCGCAATGCACAGGATTAGTTATCATCGATTGATATGAACTGTATATATAAAAATTTCAAAAACTCAAAATTGTGGAGTATATGGAGATTTGAACATGAACAGTGGGAAACGTGTCTTAAAAGCTTGTATATGTTGTACTTTAAATCAATCTGTACACGCATAAGCAACTGGCTAACGATACAGGCACGGTTACGGTAATGTATACTTTTAAATGTTGCGGCAATGTAGCCTTTTTCGTAGCAGTAATGACTATGCAGTGGTAATGAAAATTTTTAAAATGTAGCAGTAATGATCAATACACATCCATATTTTTATACTCAGGAATAAATATTTAGGAATGAAGAAAATAATATATAGACAAGTAATGAACTTAACAATACACAACTTATAAATGTTTGATAATGGTTATTTTCAGAGCAACTTCATTAATGCATCCTTCAAAATCACAATTATAGGTCTGGATCTGTACTGTTTAAAAAAAGTGGATATATACTGTTCTGCTACATTGCTAAATTGGGGATGAGTAAATTGTGTAATTCTGTGGTGAGGAACTGAGCACTTGTCTATTACATAGTTAGATTACAGTTTTCTTGATTTTAGTTCAATAGTCTTACACTATAAAACTGGCAAATAAACGATACAGTGTCTCTATAGAATTTAAAGAGAAAAAAATCAGATAGTTTTCCTTTTTATCATGTTTATATAAATATGTTGACTTTAAAATCTACGAAACAAATTTGATCCCTGATTTGATTTACTAATCGAGGTCTCTAAAACCTCAAATACCAATCTGAATATATCATAAATATTTCTTTGTTATTGCAAACAACGCATTTTACCTTTAATACGTTATTTCACAATGAAACGTGCATTACACAAACCCGGCGAAGGTCCATGTGGACTGCAAAAAAAAAAAAATCATCTGTAACAAGCTACACGAAAACACGTTGAAGATTACACTTACTGTTTGACATCTCGCAGATCTGAAGATTTGTTGTCACCATCAAACCAAACCTCCAGAAGTTTCTCAGTACCCTCGAAAAAATTTTGAGAGCTCGCACCTGCCATGTTCAATTTTTTCCCGATCGGTCCAACTTTGACCTACACTGTGACGTCATGTAACTATAGCACAAAATAGAAACGCGAAGAATTTAAATTTCCGTATAGCCCCCTCCCCATAAGCTTGATAAGGGTTTGTCTTCCGGATTGTTAAATGTAAAAATAAATTGATAAAAACTGAATCTTCTTTAATAAACTTTAGAATTGTTAAAATAAAGATTCTGCCACTTTCAGACAAGAAAATAAACTCCGAACAAGGTAGGCCACGGCACCATCTGTAGTATGGAAAGGAGGAATGAGTAAACGTGTATACATGGGTCCCGGGTTCGATTCCTGGTCCAGCCATATGTTTTCATTATATATGTATTTATGAATTTTCAAGGTATGTTTACTCATTCCTACTTTCCATACTACACTTGCCTGAAAGAGAAATTTTATGTCCAGCCCACAAAGTGCCTAGGACCTCCATTTGTATAATCAGCCGGTGCTTTACATGATCCAGTATCCACTGTCTATATAATTATATGATCAAAATCATTACCTTTCTTTTTCTCAGCCCTTAAAAATCAACACACAATAGTCTGAGATTCCTTAATATTAAATTCGTCCCTAGTAAGTCTTCTTCTTACAAACAAAGCCAAGTCTGAGGAATATACTCTTGCAATTGCACTAAATTTAACAGTACAGAAAAAAATTATCTGACTGGGAATGCAGCATGATACTATTGAATTACTATCAAATAATCAAGTGATTGGGTACTTAGCAGACCAGATAGTTGATGTCAAGTATATAGGTGACCAAGTAGTCTGTTGACCTCCAGTAGTATGGTAACTAGGTAGTCAGATGACAAGGTAGTCAGGTGACCAGGTATCAGATGACAAGGTAGTCAGGTGACCAGGTAGTCTGATAACCAGGTACTCAGATGACAAGATAGTCAGATGTCCTGGTGGTCAGCTAACTAGGTAGTCAGGTGACCAGGTAGTCAGGTAACCGAGAAGTCTGGTAACTACCTAATCAGGGGACAAAGGTAGTCAGGTGACCATGTAGTCAGTGATAAGGTATTCAGGTGACCAGGTAGTCAGATGACCTGGTAGTCAAGTAACTAGATAGTCAGGTGACCGGGTAGTCAGGTGACCCGCTAGTCAGGTGACCAGGTAGTCAGATGACCTGGTAGTCAAGTAACAAGATAGTCAGGTGACCGGGTAGTCAGTTGACCCGCAAGTCAGGTGAATAAGTAGTCAGGTGACAAGGTAGTAAGATGACCTGGTAGTCAAGTAACTAGATAGTCAGGTGACAAGGTATTCAGATGACCGGGTAGTCAGGTGGCAAGGTAGTCAGGTGACCAGGTAGTCAAGTAACTAGATACTCAGGTGACAAGGTATTCAGATGACCGGGTAGTCAGGTGACAAGGTAGTCAGGTGACCAGGTAGTCAAGTAACTAGATACTCAGGTAACAAGGTAGTCAGGTGACCAGGTAGTCAAGTAACTTGATACTCAGGTGACAAGGTAGTCAGGTGACCAGGTAGTCAAGTAACTAGATACTCAAGTGACAAGGTAGTCAGGTGACCAGGTAGTCAAGTAACTAGATACTCAGGTAACAAGGTAGTCAGGTGACCAGGTAGTCAAGTAACTAGATACTCAGGTGACAAGGTAGTCAGGTGATTAAGTTGTCAGGTGACCGGGTAGTCAGGTAACCAGGTACCCAGCCCTAGAAAATTCCATCCAAAAATTTCTTCTTGAAATGAAACAACGAATTGGTATTTGTATTCATAGATTTTAATAAATTTACAACAACAAGACGGCAATGAATCGGGCTCTCCTTCGGATATGTTATATTCACCTTCAGTGAAACACATACATATGTACTATATATCACAGCTGTGCAAAAACAAATAGCATCATCATGAAACATTTATAACAGAATTAAGATTCAAGAAAGACTTTACAATATGCAATTACAGGTTTCATATATTTACAACAATTAAGCTTTGCCCTATATGCCTATAACCACATTCATACGATACATGTATAGATCACAATCAGCAACACAGTGAAAACATCTTCTGTTAATTCTGTTCTGTTCACAGATTTCTATTATTTTTTCTTCAGACAACTCCAGACAATCACAATACCTACATGATTTAGACTTTTAACCAACACAAAGAACAGGTAATATGTTGCAAAATGTGCTTTGCAATGATTTGCATTTCTTTTGTAAGGTACCTTCTAATTTTTTTGGTCACATGAGAAATTACTACAGAACTCTTATACCAAAAAGAAGATATAAGTAGTACACAAACATACTGTAAATAATGTGATTTATTAATTAATAGATAATAAATCACATCATGTCAGTGTAATACTTGTTAAAATACCCTACTGATATTTTTTCTTATCTTAAACTACAAAGGTATCCAGCACATAAAATGAACAACAATATATTGCAAAAAGGATCATAATTTTAGCACTTATCAAACTTATACATCAGAGAAACAGGAACAGCTTCATAAGAGGGAATTCTTCTCTGAACTATACTATCAATAACTTTCTCTAAAGTCTCAGGCTGATCAATGACCGATTTACTGGATCACTTAACTGTAGATCAACACAAACTAACTTTAATAAATTAACAAAGGTAATTGTTCATTTCATATTGAAAAAAGGTCTTGTTTTATACATAGTACACTTTTGTACCCTGCTTTCACTGAAAGTGAGGAATATTAATTAGGTCTGTCTGTCTGTCTGTCAGTCTATCTGTCTTTCTGTCTGTATCACTTTTGTTTCCACAATAAATCTCAAGAAGCCTTAAGTTTCAGCTTTTATAATGAAATTATGATTTATACATAACAACTCCCTGAGGCCTAAGGAAAACCTCTTTTGATTTTGGGGTCCAAAGCTCAAAGTCATAAATTGTGTCTGTTTTAAAACTTTTATTTCCACGCTATAACTTGTGAAGCCTTTGAGCTTTTGCAAAGAAATTTAAAATCAGAACTCCCTATAGCTGAAAAAAAGACACCGATTGATTTTGTTGCCAACAGGTCAAAGGTGAAGGTAAAAAAAAGTTAAGTTTTTACACAACTGAAGACAATAAATGCCCCAATCATACAGATTTTCATTTTTTTTCTTTTCAGGATCTCTTTAACCTGTCATTCAGATAAATATTTGCTTTGTGGTTACAGTATATAAAATTTTGTGCTTTTAGAATAATACTAAAATTTGGAACCATTTTTATTTTTTAATCACTTGAGCATTCTGCATAAAAAAGATCATTAAAATGTACATTTCCCTCTTACATTCATTTTCTGTTTCTTCTATTGGCTTAAGATAAAATTTCCTGAAAACAACTGCTCAGCTTTTAATAATCAGAACATGATCAAGTGTAATGTCTGTTTTTCAAACTAAATATAATCACATATTGATAATAAATAAATCCTTTGTCATTACGATATCTTGATAGAATTGTGCACATGGAATTCAATTCCCCAACACAGTGTCATCATTCTGCCCCTAGTGATACAATACTGATAGCATCATTCATTGTAAACAAGCACCAAAGCACTGTAATATTGTTAAGAATCCTTCAATCTACAGCCTACCAAGCAATACAATGTTCTCTGAAAAAACATGGAATATTCTATGTTCTAAGTAGCAACTATTTGTATCAATAAGATAGAAGTATTAGCAAGATTAAAATTTCCATCATGCTTGACTATTATACACTGAAACTGCCTTAGATACATCTTCACTAGCCAAGAATTTAAGATCCACTACCTTCGTCTCCAACCCTTGATTCGAATCATCACTCTTGGCTAGCGATGATGCTTCAGATGCAGAAAAAACAGATATTATAATAAGTCAACATATCTGAAACAATGTCTGGAAATTCCTTCCTTAAATTATCAAAAAGATATACTCACGTAGATACTTGTAACTATAAGTACACAATAACTTGAATGTATTTGCTGGCATCAATAAAATAAGGTGTTTATATTTTCTTCGGTCGACATAATTCACTAATGCAATGCAATCTGATATGGCTTAAACTTTTCCTGTTAGAAAGACTTTAACAGTTTGTTAGAGCTAACTTTTTCCTGCTAGTTTTCCCATTCTCCAGGTATAGATCTAATTCTAGACCAGTGGATTCTTTGAGAGTGGAGTTAACTTTTTTCTGCTAGTTTTCCCCTTCTCCGGGAATAGATTTTATTCTAGACTAGTGGATTCTCTGAGAGTAGATTAACTTTTTCTGCTAGTATTCCCATTCTCCAGGTATAGATCTAGTTCTAGACTAGTGGATTCTCTGAGAGCGGAGCACCTTGCTTTCCTCGTACTGCTGGTCAGTAAGGATCCCTGTGACAGCCACTAACTGGTACTGCTTGGCCTTCAGTCCGTGTAGCGTACGTCGAATGGTGCGGAGGTTACTGCCGTTCACCACACCATGGTACTGCTGCATCTGTTTGCGGGGAGTGGAGGGGTCAAAGATCAGTAAACGTAGACCACCCTCCCGAACTTCCTCTATACCAACCACTGTTCTACTATGGCCTGAAAGAAATTAAAATGTATAATTCAGATGCTTTTTTAACTGAGCTACAGTATTCTTTTACAAATCTTTGAACTCTGAACTTAATTAAAATGGCTTTTCAAAAAGGAGAAAAGTTGCTACAATATGATTCTATGGATTAATACGGGATTCAGTTAGCCCTCTTTATTCTATTTTCAAATGGTAGAGTGAGTCTTTATAACACTAATCTGACTAAATGTACTGAACAAAGTGTACTGAATGCTGAAGCAAGAGTGAAATTTAATATCCCTAGATAACTTTATACATTTTCATGTACAGAATTCAGCATTACCATGGTGCTGAAGGTATATGGGAAGCTTGTATGCCTCTTTCTTCTCAAAATAAGCCTTGATCCAGTCAAACAGTTTGGGGTGTGTCCCCTGGGGCCCAGAAGGGCTGTGGAAATCCAACAGTTGGCACCTTCAAGCAGATGAATAGATTTAATAAAAATCATACTAATAAATTTAACATATAAACACATACAGTATCAAATTATCTAATGCTTAGAAATTTAATTTTTGGCATAGTATGACTTTTTTCATTATTCTTTTATACTGGATTAATTCAAGAGAGAACATCTAGCATTAATAGAGCAATATATGATCAGATCAAAGTAACAAAAGTAATCTTATTACCACAATTAAGAGATCTATCTATTGCCTACTCTCCCTCTTAACTTAAATTGTATTTTGATAACATTAGGGGATTATTTACAGCAACAATACATGCAGTTGATAGGAAATCATTCACACCATAAGTAACCTGAAGCATTAGATCGGGTACTGGACACTTACTTGACTTTGAGCGAGCAAAGTGTAGCTACGATCTCTGTGGCCCCGATCCATTTAGTGGTGTTGGTGACTTTGTTACCCAGTTGCTCCTTTCCCTGCTGATCAAAGCCCTTGGCCCAGGCTGCCTCAATCAGCTGTTGGATTTTAGGAATGGAGGGGATCACAGGTTTACCTACAATGATAAAACAAAAGTAATAAAAGTTTTAAAAAAAGGTAAATATTTTGTTCATTTTTCATGGACTGAAACATGTAAATGTGTTTATATTGTGGATTTGACTTTTACAAATATCACAGGTATCGTCTCTAAACTTCCAAGCAAGCATTAAACGATAATTTCATCTCTAATGACAATCCTCATCAGAGTCATCCTTGTTTTTAAGATGAAATATAATTCAATCATTTCAAGCATCTTGCTCTAGGTTATGCCATTAAGAATCTTTATCTCTTTTTAAAGTGGTTATGTAATGTGTTTGACAAATTCATAGCTTCATGTGGTTTGGCAATTACCAGGAGTTTATTTCTCTAAGCTAAAAAATAAGGAACATGTAATACCATTAAAGAGGACCTTGCTGTACGTAGGGTTGGCTGCTAGTGCTGATAGTAACATCTGGAAGTTCCGGTAGCCACACCCCCACCCCTTGTCTCCGTAAGACGCTGCGTAGTGGTCCACGTGTGAGGCTAGGTAAACATTAGCTATACTGGGCGGCTTACTTCCGTAGTATGTGGCGAATTGCTCCATTAAACCTAAAGGCATAATATTTTCTTAAAACCAATAGATAAAAGTGTATCCCTTAAAAAATCTAAATGGTATATATCTAAATATACAAATAGGACATTTGTAGGGCATTTGTTTCCATTCAGTAGGATACAAATTTGACACCTGAGGTTTTGAATTTTTTCCGAATTTTTTTTTTTTTTTTTTACTATTTTTTTTCACAATTTTTTTTCCAAAATAATGTAAAGTATGACCTTTCAACTTCACTGCATACCCTTTACCCACAAGCAATCTGTTGGTAAAGTACAGCACATATTAGCCAATGTAAGGGAAATATATGCTAAAGGATTTTACACAGAGATTCACTATGTCCCTGGCTTTTGATCTAAACAGAAATAGTTCACAGTCACTGCAAACCCTGGGTCAAAGGGAAAGAAAATATTCTTCGAGCAAGTGATACTGGATTGTAAGAGAGAATGACAGACTAATCATTACAGGAAACCTACAATGTGGAGCCAGGCCTAATCTTATCCAGGATATCAAGCTTTAATATATTTCTACAAAAAGGCCCCTTTAGATCCACACCTTTAGTACAGGAGTGTCCGTCCTCCGTGCCTGCCAGATCTCTTGTCTTCAGACTCTGTTTACGTAGATGATACTCAGTAATACTCAGATCACCTTTGGTGAAGGAATTCTCCAAGGTTCGTTCATACTGCTTCTTGTAGCTTGAGTTTCCTTTCATCCCATACATTGTCTAAAATATTTCATTATCAAAATTATACTACATGTATACAGTATTGTACGTAACATTTCAAAGACTATAGCTCATGAATCTGACATTCTTTAGTCTAAAAATTCTTCACCATTAATCATTTTTTATATGTACCAGTATGCTTATATCCTTAGCATTCTATGTTATAAACACATTTGATCCCCTATGGGAAATTCAGATTGAAGTGTTAACAAATCTAAAATCCAAACCTGCAAGGCTTCAAACTGTCTTTGCTCCTGATCTTCATATTCAGATTTTCCAAGTTCTTGAGCTAATGCAAAGTCATTTTCTACAACTGCAAAATAGAATCAGAGGAATATTACAATCTCATCTAATGTATAAAGCAATGAATGATGCAAAACATGCATTTCAAACTATAGTTTTTCTGATATGGAGAACATAATCACCTGGTGTGTTGTTAGCAGAAAAATGACCATTCACATGAATTTCCAAGATGGCTGTATCATCAAACTCCTGATCACAGACAGGACAAGTGACAATATTTTGCCAGCCTCTGCCTTCATTCCAGTTTCTGCTACAGGCAGCCATTTCCCCATCCTCATCTCTACCATCTTTGTCAAAAGTTGCCAGAGGTGGAGCAGACCCATTCTTACTTCTGACTGGCTTTTCAACAATATCCTCTCTTCTCATTGGTGGATATAACTTCTCCTGCATATCCATTGGTTGATCTGGGCTGAGGATATCAGAGTGACTAACATTGACATGAATTTGTAATTCATCCACAGAATTCATCAAGGCTCCACATAGTGGACATCTTGGAACAGAATCATCGTCAACCATTTCATAATCATCACCTTTACATGGGCTTAGAATATCCAGGTGTTCTCTATTTACATGAGTCTGGATGTCTGCTTCAGATATCGTACTGAACTGGCACATAGGACAAGGAAATTCACCGGGAATATTGGAGTTGATATCAGGTTCTACATTATCATTGATATCTGGCACAATCAGAGGGTTATTTCTTTGATTGCCTTGGAAACCTGTTCCATTCTGTGCTGCGCCTCTTCTTATAGCACCTGCTATGCTATGGGAACTGTTGAAACCTTGAGTCAATCTTAAAACTCCGGCGTCCTCTCTTGGCTGGTTAACTTCTAGGAATAAATGACTTTTGTCCACTCCCTCTGAGGCTTGGGCATTCCTTGATCTACTGCTTGACTGACTGAAATTACTTTGGCTGTTTGAACTGCAGCTTTTGTCATGATCATACTCTAGATCTTCAGATATTTTCAGTGTTTTAGAGGATGCTTTCTCCCTGTTATTACCCTCTGTGGATTTCATTCCCTTTGAGATCCTTGGCTGAGTATTTTCTGTAGTTGAGTCATCTTTGCCTTTGCTTTTGGAATGTTTTTCTTGAGACATGGCTTCTGATGTGTGACTAGCTACAGAATCAGGGGAGTCGTTGCCTTTAACAGATAAGGTGTTTGACTGACTAGCTTGAGCAGAATCCTCCTCTGAGAGGTGAGCACTATTGATATGTAAATTCATCTCATTAGATGTGACCCCACTAAGGTCACAGAATGGACAGGAAATATCTCGCTCCACATGTTCCATCATTATATGGGCTCGCATCTCATTCTGGGTTAGTCCCTTCTGGCCACAGATGAGACAGGGAAATTTAGCATCATCTTCCAGGAATTTCCCTTCTTTCTCTAAAATGATGCCTCCTTCTGCCATGGAGCCTAGTCTGTAAAGGACAATTGTATAAATTTTGTTTACACAGCTACATTATACAGCAGGTAAATTAAACACAAAGTAAATATTTTAAACATGAAAAGTGAGTCTATAAACTCATAACATTTAGCTTGTCCATGAACCTGAGGGACAAGGGAACATTGATTCTAAAAATCATAGTGATCTAGTTTCTCTCCTAAGATTTAACACTAAAAATGGTTAATTTTTAAAATTATTAACATGATTAATATCAGATGAGATGACCGTGGTTACAATTATTCACATTATATCAGTAACATCAACATGTTCAAGTACTAAGTATATTAATGATTAATCAATAGCTATTTTCTTATGAATTATTTTGCCAATTACCAGTAATATTATAGAATTTGTTAATTTAATAATTTAGAATTATTAAATCTGTTGTTTCATTGCTTCTCATAACAATTTATAAACGGCCAATACATGTAGTAGGTTCAACCAAAGATATAAAAGTTAACTTAAATTGTGTATTTTTGTCTCTGGACCAATTGAGAATTTTTGGTCTTTTCCCTGATGTTTGCGGCTCTGATCCTTAACTGTTTTAAGTTTCATTTCAATAAATCAATAATCCATCAAGCTGTTTTAACTTATACACATCAAATTCAATTTCTTTAATTGTGTGCACCCAAAAAAAGTCAGCATTCTGACTGCTTATCAGAAGTAAAAGTGCATTGAATTTTATAAGAATTTGCTAACATAAATTCTTTCTCTCATGTGAGAGTGGGCCGAACTGCCTAACATATCAGATGTTAAATGACATCTGTTCAAATTAATTAACTAATCAATCTGATCAGCTGATTAACCTATAGTTCAGTTCACTATTTAAGTTGGGTGTAAATGTCAGTTCTCTTCATTTCTTACCTACGGTGATGGACAGGAAGTTGCTTAATTAATATACATGTCTAAAATCTCATGAATTTTCAATGAACCTCATCTTCTATTTTCATTTTATTTCAGCAACATACAAAATAAGTCCGTTACGAATAACGTAAAGAAATCCGGGAAACGAAGAAATATAAATGCCCCAAAAAATAATTTTTTCAAAAAATATTCATAAATATATTTTAGGCATCAAGACTTTATTGTTATATATACATGTATTATATCTCTATATTCGAAATAAAAAGAAATTTTAAATTGGGGGGGGGGGGGCGGAGCGGGAATTCCGGATATATTCTGAATACGGTGTTGTTTCTCTTTTTCGTGCTTTTTACTGTTTCCAGTTTTGAGGTTAAGGATCTTGCAACTTGAAAAACCTTGGAATTTAACATAATGTGAGCTGTTTAAACACCCAATTTTATGTTAACGCCCCTAAAATCTACCTGATTCAAGATCAATAATTTACCGCCTGTCGATCATAAAAAAACAATAGCTTCTGATTTGATTGACAGGTCAGCTACCTGTGCTTCTTGGTAATCTGAGTTTGGGTGTTTTGAAAACAATTACCTGGTCACGCGTCAAACTCTTTCATGTACCCGCATAGTATACACGCGGGTTAAAAATCTCCAATGTGTTTGAATTTTATTTCAAAACATAATTGAAAGTAGATTATTAAAACATTGACGTTATTAAATATTTCTTTTCTATTTTCACTGCTGTTTGTTACTTGTAAGTGTTAAATCGTCCACGTTATCAGCGTCCACAAAAACCGGCTCTTTTTGCCGTAATTGGAAGTCCGACGATTTTTGAATTATTTTTTAAGAAATGGGATATAAGAAAAATATTCAGCACTAATAAACGGCATAGCATAGGCTTTAAAAGATGTTTTATTTTGTACTATGGCAACAATCCGCACGATGTTGTACAGAAATTGATGTCAGAATTAATGCTCGAATTTCCTCTAGCGTCTGTATATATACCAGGGACCTATATACTAGTATAAAGGTCCCTGATATATACGTAATGAAAATGTGAAAATAATTAATAGAGATCGATTTCTGAAAAGAAATCTTTCTAACAATAAAATTGTTAACACACGAAGAATCAAAAATATGGAATATTTTGGCCAGGGGAAAAAAACATTCCGATCGCGGTAAATGCATGTTCACATGCACGATGGATAGGTGGATTTTTTTTATTTCAATATTCAGACTTTTTTAATCAAGTGATTTCTTTTATTGAAGATTAAAAAAGATATATATGTTGGTTTTACTCGTGATTTTTTTTTTCTTTTATGTAAGGAAAACATTTTCTAAAACGATATACATGTATCTTATTATTTTTTTCCCTTCAAAACATTACCATGATTACTATGAATGCGTTAATACAAATAAATTTCATATTAATATAATTATTTTACGTAGTTTCACTCAAAACACGTAATGATGACCCTGATTACCAAACACAGACTTCCTGTGTAATGCTACGTATACACAGATTTTTGACATCTTGGGTATTGGGGGTTATTAACAATGTTGTGAAATCTTGTCAGGTAAATAACACCACTAGTACTTCGACCACTCCCCCTCCTCAGGTAACCGTACGGTAAAAAAATTGGGTCTTTAAGACTAACAGTACCTGTTTTTAACTCTTTTGTCTATTCCATTGTTAAAAAGAGTGTTTTAGGTAACCTGCATTTTTGCAATGATTGTTTATTTGAAAATTATGTTTTGTGACCATTGACAGCAATCTCTACCCAGAGTTATCGTTCCACTTATACCTCTGTCAACGTCTAAAAAGTAGTACGGAAGCGGAGGAACGTGATTTTTATTTTCAAATGTTGTTGAAAATTGCCCACAAAAAGATAAACACCTTTATGTTTCTATATATTTGTCAAAGCTGAAAGCTTATTGTCTATAAAAACTAAACCATGTTGATATTTATCGGCAATGCGTTTTTAAATTTTCCACGTTCGTAATATCCTGCCGAGAAATAATCCCCTATAAGACATGGCGAAAAAGTGATATCTGATTCCAATTCTCATAAATAAACTTTCATTTCACATGTTAAGCAAGAGTATAAAAGTTTTACATTGATAATTTATGATGCAATAGGTAAAAATAAGTTTTGCCAAGAATCTTGGCATTTAGACGTTGACAGAGGTGTTGTAGCGAAGCGAACGATAACTCTGGGTAGAGATTGCATTGACAGGTCCTCCCAGTTTGTCCAGACTATATTCTGCCTAAATGTTTTGAATGTTAAATTATGTTGTTTTGCGTCCCATTTGAAAATTTTTACATAGAGTTGCCCCCATATATCTGTGAAGAGGTTCATATTTGGACTTCACTAAGCACTCAAGGTCATTTAGCAGCAAGGAATCTTTCTCGTGCCATTGCCTAATGACACAGACCATTGGTTTTGAAGGTCTCATTGGAAGGATCCAAAACTTTCAATCCAAAGTGCCAAGTGCTTTCCAAAGGAACAGTTGCTAACTAGCTATTGACATAAGTCAAACAGGTCAGGGGTTCGAACCCACGACCTTCCAATCATGCTGCACGAGTTCTATCATCAGTAGTCGTTGTTGTAAACTTTTCACATTTTCATCTTCTTCTCAAGCCACAGTTTCAACCAAACTGGACAAAGTATCCTTGCATATAGCTCTCTCCTTTTCCGTGGCTTCATGAATTTGTTAAAAAAAGTGTTTAATCTTCTATTTACGCCTCTCTATTGTGACCTCATATTCAGTCAATGACAAGTTTTGTTTACATCGCAATTGAAATCAGCAACTTACATCAGCAGTATTTCGTACACTGCGATTAGGTATTGAAAGGTTACATGAAAGGTCAATTTCCGACTATGCTATACTCGCATTGGTCAATACTTTAATGAGCTACTAGATATTCTCGTCTCATGCAACCATGGCCAGAATAGGAGAGGATTGTACATTTTGGCTGTGGTGTGCGACGATGTACAGAGACATTCCCAAATGTTTGACGTTGTGTGTTAAAGAGTCAAAAATTGAGGGCTGTTTTGTCTTGGACAAAGTTTTATTGGACTAAGGTGTCAATGGTCCGAATTTTCAAAAATGATTTACACATTCTTATAGAGTTAACTCTATCTATTTGCCTGCATAAAATATATCTTACTATATCCTTTGTAACTATACAAAACTACTGCAATCCTTCAAACAACTTTTAGATTTTTTTTAACCTTTTCTTTAAAAAAGTAATGACATTATCTTTTGTTAGGCACTGTCTCATAAAGTCAGTAATATTTTGATCTAACATGAAATAAATATTTATCAGTCATATTCAGTTCATGTAACACATTTTTCCAGTGATCCTCTAAATCTTACCCTTTTTTAATGCTATAAATTCTCTCTTAATTCAAATCAATGTAAATATTTGGGTTTTTTTTTTTAATTATCATTATGTTTATTTTTTACATTATAGCTTAGATAATAAGTTTCTCAATTTCTGTCTGTAAGATAACCCACTGTTTGTTTTGAGTTTAATATGAATGTCCAACTTTGTTGTAGCAGCATATAATGGTATTACTAATAAAATTTTTTTAATCCTGTCTCTTTAAGGTGAAATGACAGCATGAGGTTTACAAGATTTTTCCCAGGTAAATGTCAAAGACTGTGGACACAACCAGTGAAGGAGTCATGCAGCAGCAAGAACAGTATCCCTGTACGCCATCTCTTCCAACAGTCCGAGACTGCTGCGGGACATTGTATGATCTTTATGATCTTATCTGAATTTAAGTTAAAACTGTGCTTGGGAAATGTAAAAAATAGGTTTATGCTTAGTTTTGTATAATGTGTGTATGTATGATTTTGATTTTATTTAGCACTTTTTTAATGCTATTTATGTAAATGTGTGCTTATAAAACATTTAGCATTCTTGTATTATTAGAGATTGCTTTCCATTGATAGCATAGAATACCTTGCCAAATGTAATAAATAGTGTATCTAGTTCAGAGTAAATTTCTGAAAATGAATTATTTGAGGTAATGTACTGCAATTTATTTATCCAATTGTTTTTATTAAAGCATTTCAAGATCCAAGAATTAAGATGACTCCCAGACTGATTCGAATGGCCAGATTTACCAAAAGAATTGGCTGGACAGAAGAGCCCCCTCAATTCATAACGTAAGTCAGTAAATGGATACATATTTTGGTGTATTTGAATAGTAATACAATTACATTATTTGTTCAGAGGCTTTTTCATTACTTTTTCAGGCGAAATGAGCATCTTGCCATGAGAACTATTTCAAGGATAAAGGTCAATGTCATTGGTGTTGTTTTCATGATCTGTCTTGCCGGGTCAATTATCAGGAAAGGGAGAGAAATCAAGAAGCGAGGGAGGACACTGAGTGATTGCAGCCAAGTGCAAGTAGATGCACTGAGACTTAAGCATTTACTGGAACAGAAACAGGAAAGAGAAGCTGCTGCAAAGACTAGTAAAGCCTAGAGAACCAGTTTATTTTACAGCATTTTATTTCTGTTTGTAGAGTTAATAAAGACTGAATACATTGTACATGTTTAAAACAGCTCTAAATATAATTATGTACAAACATATAAACAGTAAATATATTTTAACAAGAATTTGTTGGGTTTTTAATTCTTTTTGTTTTTGTTTTTGTTTTTTTTTTTTATTTTTAAACCAGGAATTTCATAATGATTAATTTTTTTTTTACTTTGTACATTCTCTTCAATATAATATAAGCAGCTTGATGAAAGCTATTACAAGGAAATATAAGAAGGAACTATGTAGAATTATTCTGAATAGATGTTACATCATAATTTAGGTATTTAAACTATAAATAAGTTTATCATGTTTATTTGTTCAAAAACAGCTTTGAACAAAAATATATCCATAGTTCACTATTTAATTACAGGAAACTGTTATTTGAATTTATTACGTTTCCATCCATAAATTGAATATCATGCTGTTAACTGGTTAAGATATACATGTATTTGAAAGATTGTAGGATCATCTACTGACCTTATAAGGACCTGTTACATGCAAAATATTTGTCTTTTTTAATTAATCCTTATAACTCTTATGACATAATCATTACAAAAAAGATACATATGAATATCAGAACATATTTAAACATGTGTATGAGGAGATGGAATCGGGTTACACAAATAACGAATATTCACTGAACAACTTACTCGGGTTACTTAAAAATAATTACGAATATTCTTGGAACGATTTAATGAAAAAGAAATCAAATCATAACCGGAAGTTGCTATACAATATTTGGAGGCGTGAACATCAAAATACTAAAATTGCATTATGTAGAGCATTATTTCCCTTATGAAGTGAAGGATATTGTCATTAAAAAAGTTAAAACAGTTTTATATATTTAAGAAAAATGTCCAGACAAGGCACTAGAGGTGTAGATCAACGCAAAGTAGTAAGTTGCATATTTCGAATTTTCTCGTTCGGCCTTTTTTTTCTTTATCATATTTATAGTATTATTTCTTCAGCTTTCATATCTTTTTTTATCTTTCATTTTGTTAGTCTTATGTCAGTCTGTGAATTCTTTTGTGTTACATTGTTGTAATCACAATACAGAGTACCATTTAGCCTTTCATTCTTGTACAGATTTTAAACCCTGAACCTGAAGATTCATATGCATGCATGTAAAAATTTCAAGTAAAGAATTGATATATTTTAAGTTAACTTACATTCAAATGTATTTAATTCCAGAATGGTGAATTATTTTCTTTAACATATGGGGCTCTTGTGGCTCAGCTATTGAAAGATTATGAAGATGATGATGAAGTCAACAAACAGCTGGAAAAAATGTACGTACAACTTGATTGAAGGTTAGGACCACTCAACAAAATGGGATATAATAGCCTGTCAGGGATATAATATCCCATATGGGATATAAATTTACAGTGCAAAAATGATTATTTTTATTTTAGTCATAAATAACCATGTAACATAAATCTGCAATTAGATACTTATAAAGGAATAACTCGGTTAACAAGGTTTTCTGTATGCCCATTGTTTAGGAGATTGATCCCTCAGAAGTTCGTTAACTTTTTGGTGATCAATCTAACAAACTGTAGGTTCTCAGAAAAAGTTTTGCCAAAATTTATTCCTTTTTAAGCATTTTTATGCAGATTTATGATATTTATAGGCAAAATAAAAACTTTCATTTTTTGCACTGTAAATTTATATCCCACTTGAGATATTATGTCCCATTCAGGGAAATGGTCCCAACCTGTTGATACAAAGTTTCATTGCAATAATTTCTCGCTTGAGAGAATGTCAGATATGGAACAGTATACATTTATTGACTGGGCTCAAGGGTAGCTGCAGATCTGTAGCTCGCTGGTCTGAAAAAATTGGGATGGATAACCAAAGAGCTACAGTGCCACCTAGCTGCAGATCTATAGCTCTCCGAAAAAATTATTGATAGACCGGAGAGCTACAGAGCCACCCATTGAAAAAACTGTATATTTATTGCGCACAAAAAAAAATGCACTGGGTTCTCAATTTATTTCTCCATGTTTTTAAAGCTGTAATCTCAAAATATTACTAACCGTGTGTTCCTAACATATTCTTTGACTATTTCCACAACAAAACATTCCTCATAATTGTTGTTAATAGTCCTCCTGTCCCAGATATTGCAATCATCCGACATTTCGCTTATTTATACTGCCATTTTGGTTTCAAAGATAATTCAGTCCAATATACTTCGTTCAGATGTCAACTACGAGAGAACTTGATAGAGGAGAGAGTAATTTTTTGAAATCTTCCATTTTTTGCAATTGAGTTAAGAATTTGGAAAAATTAATCACGAATCGAGCGCACTTTTTTGTGCGCAATAAATATACAGTTTTTTCAATGAGTGGCACTGTAGCTCTCCGGTCTATCAATATATATTTTTTCGGAGAGCTACAGATCTGCAGCTACAGTGCCACCCATTGAAAAAAATGTGAATTTATTGCACACAAAAAGTTCCACTCATTTTTGGATCAATTTCTATAAATTCTTACCCCAACTGTAATAAAGCTTGATTTCACACAGTTAGTAATATTTTGAGAAGGGGAGTAGAAAAACATTGAGAAATAAATTGAGAAACGGTGCACTTTTTTAAATGGGTGGCACTGTAGCTCTCCGGTCTGTCAGTATATTTTTTCGGAGAGCTACAGATCTACAGCTAGGTTTAAGGGCTACATGCACTTTGTCCAACCCAAGAATCAAACTGTTTGCCTGAGTTTGGAATGGAGGTACCTGTTATATTAGGGATGAGTATGGCCAAAATTTTCGTATCGCGATATATCACGATTTTTTTCCAAAATATCACGATAATATCATGATATTTTTACAATCAATTTTTACAATGATTTTTAATGAATTGTCATTATTTTTCTTAGAAATATACTAAAAAACAAAATTTCACTTTTTTGAAATTTTTATGTACATAAAATTAATCATGTTTGGGTGGTAAGATGCTGTTCTTTTCACCTTTTACAACATTTTTTAGACTTTCTATAATTGTAATTTGAAAGATTGAACAAATAAATGAATAATTTCTGGACTTTATAATATGTACCTAAATACCAGTATTTAGGTCTCCGTATCACGATACGTATCACGCAACAAAAAATCGCGATATACCGGTATACCGATAAAATCGCACATCCCTAGGTTATATGTAATTTTTCCACAAAAAAATGTTTCATAGCTATAGCTTATGTACTGAACAGTGCACACACAAGTGTTTGCTTTAAACAGATTCTTGCATATTGCTTTTAAATGTGTGTGACTGTGTGGTGTGCTTTAAGGGCAGAGATGGATGCATACTTGGAGAAATACTAATATCTTGATATTAGTTTTAAAATATTTTTCAGGGGATACAACATTGGTGTGAGGTTAATAGAAGATTTCCTTGCAAGGTCAAATGTGGGAAGATGCAATGATTTTAGAGAAACTGCAGATGTCATATCCAAGGTAAGCATTAGGAACACAGATACAGTTAAACCTTATCTCAAACTAGGTGAGTCTAAGGTCATCACTTTTAGATTTCTATGGATTCAAGATTTAAGTTTATATACATTAAGAAAAAAGTGGTATGGACTTCAAAATCACTTCAACAAATCCCTGGTATTCAAGATATCCAAGTTCAACCTTATGTTTGTTTTGAGAGAGAAACAGAAATATGTTCCTTAATTCCCATGTACTTTGAGAAGTGCATGGGAATTATGTACTTTGATAGTCACTGTCTGATTAAGTGTATTATTTTTTTAATACATGAAACCTGGGCTTTAAGATGTTCCTGGGAATGAAGTACTTTGAAAGTGATTGTGTTTTCTATTTATACCTGACAGTTCGGCTACAAGGTGTACCTGGGTATTATTTATGTTTTTTATAACCGACAGTTGGGCTTTAAGATGTACCTTGGAATACAGCCTGTGGTCAGTAACTGGAGTGCTGCAGGAGATGAATTCTCCCTTCTGATTGAAAACAACCCACTGACTGATTTTGTAGAGCTACCCCCCGGTCATTCACAGCTCTGCTTCTCCAACATTTTATGTGGTGTCCTAAAGGCAGCACTGGAAATGGTATCTTGATTTCTCTTTGTCTCTCTCTCTCTCTCTCTCTCTCTCTCTCTCTCAATTAAACTTCATGAATTAATTTTAACACTGTTTGTGATCTATGACATTTATTTTCTGTTGTATTAATGAATGATCTAGAATGGAACAGTACTCTCAAAATTAATTTTGAACTCACTTTTTAGGTCCAGATGGAAGTGGATGTTAAATTTGTACAAGATACATTAAAGGGAGATAACATTACAGAGATTCGTCTCAAGTTCATCAAAAGACTAGAGGATGCCATTCCTGTGGGAGAGGATTAAAGAAAATTAAAAATTTATAAAGGGATTTTGTAATTACTGCAAGGAAAGCATGCACAGTACTAGCTTAAAATTTATTGCAAAAATCATTGAAAAAGTCATTCCAATAGCCGTGTTTTGTGTTAAATGTGAAAAAAGAAATACGTGTGTCACATGTGAATTTGGGGTAAGATGAATAAGTTGGAGGTGACATAGGCAATCTGGGTTTTTAAAAAAAAAGTATTTGATATTTGTTGTGTTTATGTAGTTTTCCTACATATATGTGTGTAGTGTGTAGATGCTTAATTAAGTTTATGTAATGACATTTCATGTGGAAAGATGATATTTCTTTCTGAAGTGTAAGTTACATCATTTTAATTAGAAAGGTATTCTTTGCAAGCATAAACATAATATTGAAAAAAGATATGCAACATAACATTAAATGTCCATTTGTTGTTAGCTCACCTGAGCCGAAGGCTCAAGTGAGCTTTTCTGATCAAAATTTGTCCGTCGTCTGTCGTTGTCGTTGTCGTCGTTGTAAACTTTTCACATTTTCATCTTCTTCTCAAGAACCACTGGGCCAATTTCAACCAAACTTGGCACAAAGCATCCTTGGGTGAAGGGGATTCAAGTTTGTTCAAATGAAGGGCCACGCCCTTTTCCAAGGGGAGATAATCATGAATTTGTTAAAAATTAATGGCATTTTTAAAAAATCTTCTTCTCCAGAACCACTGGGCCAGGAAAGATGAAACTCATGTGAAAGCATCCTCAGATAGTGTATATTCAAGTTTGTTCAAATCATGACCCCCAGGGCAAGGATGGGGCCAAAATGGCCGACCCAAGTTTTACATAGGAATATATAGGAAAAATCTTTAAAAATCTTCTTCTCCAGTACCACTGGGCCAGGAAAGATGAAATCATGTGGAATCATCCTCAGGTAGTGTAGATTCAAGTTTATTCAAATCATGAGCCCCGGGGCAAGGGTGGGGCCAAAATGGCCGACCCAAGTTTTACATAGGAATATATAGGAAAAATCTTTAAAAATCTTTTTCTCCAGAACCACTGGCCAAAGAAAGATGAAACTCATGTGGAATCATCCTCAGGTAGTGTAGATTCAAGTTTGTTCAAATCATGACCCCCGGGGCAAGGGTGGGGCCAAAATGGCCGACCCAAGTTTTACATAGGAATATATAGGAAAAATCTTTAAAAATCTTCTTCTCCAGTACCACTGGGCCAGGAAAGATGAAATCCTGTGGAATCATCCTCAGGTAGTGTAGATTCAAGTTTGATCAAATCATGACCCCCGGGGCTAGGGTGGGGCCAAAATGGCCGACCCAAGTTTTACATAGGGATATATAGGGAAACCTTTTAAAATCTTCTTTTCAAGTACTTCAAAGCTATGATTAGTGATATTTATATGGAATCATCCTCAGGTAGTGTAGATTCTAGTTTGTTCAATTGATGAACGCCTGGAGGGGGGGGGGTGGAGTAAATTCAAGTCTGATGTGCTCAGGTGAGCGCTGTGGCCCCTGGGCCTCTTGTATTTTGTTGTGTTCACTTGTTTCATTGTGTAAAGTGTATGTAAGTGATGAATGCAATAAAAGAGATAAAAGCTAAAAATACTAGTAAGTTAAAAAAATTGATAGAATATTCAGAATATGAAAACGGTTTGTTTTAAATTTCTTGGAAATGTGAAAAAGAAATAAAAAGAAATTGGAGTTATCCTTCTTTGATTTAGGTTCATATGCTGTGGTACATTCCGTCGTGGCAAACCACGCACAGAATGTTCGATTAGAACTCCAGCTTGAGACGATATACTAGTATAGATCCTAGATGCATGGATAATGCATCTAGTATGTTTCAATGTACTTTTCAGGTGTTTCATATGTAGAATCTTTAGTGAAGTAGCCTTTCAACTTCTCTATAGAGAATATTTTGTATGACCAAGAAATATTATTGTACCAAGCTAACTAAAACCTCTACCTGCACCAAGCTTGCAGGGGTGACGCATGTAAGATACAAAGAGTATCGCTGTCCCCCGCTGAAAGTTGGGGATTTTAATTTCGGTCTGTCTGCCCATCCATCTAGCTGTGAAGTTTCTCTTTGTATGTGACACTTATATGACAACACATTGTTCAAGGGCATTTACAAAAAATAAATCTGATAATAATATAGTGATTATCATTTAAGATAAAATCATGCAAAACTGTCTGCAAGCACATACAGTCTTATACCCCATTCATACGACATGATTTGCATACCTCAGTATATTTTACACATAAGTAAATTTACTCACATGTGCAATTTTTGTCGTATGAACTGATTAACTCATATGCAAATTCTGCACAGTTGAGTAAATTTACACCTAGTCAGGACTAGGTGCAAATTAACTTTTGCATACACTTTGTAGCAAATTACAGCCTACTCCGGATATATTGAAATTTAAGGGACCATGCAAATTATTTCAATATATCCGTAATTCAATATAAGCGAAATATTGTGAAGCCGCCATTTTCACAATTTCAATCTCGATCTAAAATAAAGAAGAACAAACCCGAACAAATTAATGTTGTCATCGTTTATCTATAACAGTAAACAGATTACATAGAATATTAGTCCTTGAAAGTTTAAATATTTTTTTTTATTTCTGTTTCATTGAAAAGACAATCTTCAAACTCATTTTTATTCCCTGATCGCATTTATTTACGTTTTGGAGAAAATTCACCGGACTTAAACGGTTGGGTACTGCTGAACGCTGCTTCTATTTCTTCGTAAGTGTACTCGAGTTAATCCCTTAGTTATTTCGAATTTAGGCATATCAATGGCTATTAACAGTACGTATTTAATTTCAAAGTAATGTTTTTTTTTTTCTAGATCTGTGGGGGTTACTATATTACGTTTAGCTGTTTAGCCTCAATATGTGCGTATTATATACACATGGACACAAAGAATTTAACAGTGAACAATTTTATTTCGTAAGAGCATGCAATTGAATATAAAAGCACACAAGGTGAAAACTTAATTATTCACACCTGTGTATATCAACTGGTCAATCAGGCATAATTACTGTCACCAACCGTAACGACAGCCGCTAGGGAGTACTTCAATATAACCGTTATAAAAACAAATCATTATCACCTGTGGGGACCGGTTAGTGGCTTCAATATAAGCGAAATTTCAATATATCCGATTTCAATATAACCGTAATTTTAATGCAAAGAATATGAGAGACAAAAACTGGGGATTTATTTCTATTTCAAAATAAGCGGAATTTCAAAATAAGCGAGTTCAATATAAGTGGAGTAAGCTGTATTAGTTCAACTGTGTAAATTTTGTCGTATGAACACGCAGCAAATTTACATATGTATGTATTTTGTTTTGTTTATTGCATAAATATCCATTTAAAGTGTTATTTCGGTTGTGTATACATTGGCGTGTAAAATATCAATCAGTAAACATGGTGGCTAGAAGGCAAAACTCTAAACAAGGAGCAATTATCTCCTCCGAGATAAATTTTCGAGTTTGCAAATACGAGGTCATCTTGCATCCATTTCTGGCAAACCTTTGTTTATGTCTATAAAGATATAGCTGTGGTCGCAAACAAGTGCCCTGTAGGATCAATAAGTAGTATCCTTACTATTCAAGTTGTCTCCTTGGGAATGCTCTGGAGCTATGATAGGGCCCCATTACCGTTTAGCTCTTGATGACTTTTCTCTACCTTTCTCTGTTTTTAATTCAGGTAAGCTACTCACATATAAGTTGATGTTACAGGAGTTTCAATAAACTCGCTGAAAGTAAGGATTTGTAATTTTCCTCCTTGGCACCTGATCCCACCATGAATTTCTAGGGGCTCGTGTTCATTTCCTATTCACATATTTGTATTGTTCAAAGATTTTTTAGATCGATCACTGTTATTTTTCTTTATCCTTTGCATTCTCCTGGAAAATACTGTACATGATTGTAATATCCAAGCAGATATTTTATAATGGCATCGCACACTTGATGCACTGTAGATTTCCCAACAACAAAAAAAGAGAGATTCCAATCGTCTTATTTCTGCTGAAGACGTCAACCAGTAGATGGCAGCAGTCACCCTTTTCTTTACACCCAACGGCTCTTCTACAGTCTTTAGGACCAAGGCCAAAAATTTTCAAACATTAAACAAAAATTTTAATAAATTTTCCATTTTCGTGTGTAAATTCTTATACCATTCTTTTACATGTATTGTCCTTAAAGTCATTAAATTCGTTTTTTTTCCGTACAAATAAATCAGAGGATCGGATACCCCTTGTTTCTTTGAGGAACATTCAAAAGTTAGTCTGAAACCCAAATAGTAAGAAAACACCCCTTTTCTTTAAAAATTCACAATTCTGAATCTGTCTATCTCCTTGTTTTATATAAAAATATCAGGATTTACTTACAGTACATAAAACTCGTCTGAACGCATAGCAAATTAACTTTTACTTACGTGTGTAGATTTACTTATATGTAAATTTGCACACATAAGCAAATTTTCGTCGTATGAATGGGGTATTAATCGTTAAATATTTTGCATGCATTACCAACCTTTTTTTTAAATTTTGTTATACACATGGTGTGCCACAACCTATGGTGTGTCACTATGTGTGTAACACTGTGTGTTATGTTGGTAGGGCCCAAATCTGGTATGTTTAAATTCCTGGTTTTTTAAATGCCTCCTTCGAAGAAGGGAGGACATACTGCTTTGCAGCTGTCCGTCGGTCTGTCTGTCGGCCCTTCATCGGTTTCCGGTCATTTTCTTTGCAGAGGTTGCACATATTGAAATGAAATTTGGTAAACAGATTTATCATAAGAATATCTAGGTCAAGTTCTGTTTTGGTATGATCGGGCCATTTTGAACAGAGTTATATCCCTTGGGCTTAGAAAACTTCCAATTATTTGCTGTTTCCGTTCATTTTCTTTGCAGAGGTTGCACATATATTGAAATGAAATTTGGTATGCAGATTTATCATAAGAAAATCTAGGTCAAGCCATTTTTGACAGAGTTATGTCTTTTGGAATTAGAAAGATTCCAATTTTTTTTTTATTTTTTTTTGGGGGGTGGGGGCATAAGTGTTTTAGAAATATTTCTTGTTTTCATGACGTTTACTTGTACAATGAATTCATAAAATCTAAGGCTTTATAATTATGATGTGTTATTTTTTCAAATTATAATCGAAAAACACCCCACCCCCTCTTTTCACGTATGACAGGTGTTTTGTTTTTTTTTTAATCATGGAAAACCTTTGTTTATTATGCGCAAATTAAACTAATTCTTCATGAAATTCACATATCTTTGCCTACATGAACATATAAATGGATTCTAAGCCCTTTTGTACCTGTTTATTAATATTTAATTTTTTTGACGAGAGAAGTGATTTTTTTTTCTGTCACATTGATGTAAACGAAATATCTTGTCTCACTTTATTTAATGCACTA